GGGTTCCCCTTTGGGTTTTTTTTGGTCCTTTTTTTTTTTTTTCCCCAAGTGCTGGGCGGTTTTCTCATCCCTTTTTGAATTAACAGAACTGTTTCTCCATGTTCTGCAAGTGGGTTGTCTCTGATAGTGGACTGAGTGGATGTAACAACTGAAAGCATTTATTGAACACAAGATGAGACATGTGATTAGAAACTACAAAGAAAGTGACAAATAATGCATACTCAGTTTTTTTAATTAATTGCTTGCATTTGTGGATTTTCCTGGTACATTCTGAGAATTATTAGAGAAAGATACATCCTATTTTAAAACTAACCTTATAAAAAAGCTAAACAATGTGTAATTATCCTCCTTTTTGATCACAACTCACAACATTGCATAACTCAATCATAAACATACACTCAAGTTGATTAATTTGGTTATTAGAGAGCGGTCAGTCCCAGTACTGTCTTAGTTCCAGCACTCTGCGGCCTCCACCTCTGGGGCTGCCAGAACTCTGCTCCCCTCGATGATCCGCTTGATCAGATCAACATGTGACCCTGCCACCTTGGAGGAGGGTGTGAGGCCATGTGGAGGGCCTCTCTGAGAGAGAGAGAGAGAGAGAGAGAGAGAGAGAGAGAGAGAGAGAGAGAGAGAGAGAGAGAGAGCGGGAAGTGGGAGAGAGAGAGAGAGAGATGGGAAGTGGGAGAGAGAGAGGGGGGGGGGAGAGAGAGAGAGTGATTGACGGGAAGTGGGAGAGAGCGAGAGAAAGAGAGAGAGAGTGACAACAAGGAGAGAGATGGAGAGAGAGGGAAGAGAGAGAGAGAGAGAGTGATTGACGGGAAGTTTGTGAGAGAGAGAGAGAGAGAGAGAGAGAGAGAGAGAGAGAGAGAGAGAGAGAGAGAGAGTAAGAGAGAGAGAGAGAATTACCATTGTTGCAGATACATCCCACCAGGCTGGAGACGTCCTCCCATCCCCTTCCTCTCCACTTACCTGATGACTTTTTTGGGCCCCAGACATTTGAAGTCAGCGCTGACGGAGTACCGGCCTGAGAAGGTGCCCTTCACGTTCAAGGAGCCAAACACGTCCCTGTCACATGGATGCTATTACACATGCTACACACAGACACGCACACAAACAACACACACACAAACACACACACACACACAATACTGTAACCATTGATAGTAAGAATTTGTAATTTGAGAAACATAAACCTAGGATGAGTGTTTGGTTGCCCAAATCAAAACCTTTTTTACATGACACTTTCAAACAATCCCTTATCTAAGAGTCTTATTTACGTTTTGATATTTTAGACATATTTGGCATTTCTTTCTGTAAATTACAATTTCTTTGTTAATAAGTGAACCGAGGATTGTTGTGGTACTTCAGGATGTACTTTTGTGTCATCTTGCTAAATCATTCCCATTCAGCTCTGCAGGCCTTGAGTACAGGGCTCTTCTCTCAGTCCATTATTATCCACCAAGTCCTAGCATTTCACTGAAGCACTCTCTCTCACTCTCTCTCTCTTTCTCTCTCTACCTCTCAATCCCATCTTTTCCTAACACTTCTATGCACATCACCGCCATGCTATTTGAAAGCAATATGCAATAAATAAATATACAGTATTTCACTGTATGAAGTATTAACTATATCAAGATTACAGGTCAAGTTTATCCCAAATTGAAACCATCAGTTTGTATTATTTTAGATAGATTCAATAGATGAAAACATTCATTATAATGAGAAATATTGCAGATTTTTATGTTAAGATATTTCTGGTTATTTAACTTCATCCTTTTCAAACTCACATAAATAAATATATATTGCACTTTAATGATTTGCAAAAGTTTTAGATTATATAATATTCTAGTCTTTTTTTCCCATAGCTACTAAGTTTTTCTGTTATTCTCATGCGAACCAAATATTAAAGCTAGGATGGAATAGATACAGAGTGAAACTACTGACAAACAGCTGTTTCATGTACTGTACAGCTACAGTAGAAACTCAGTCAGTCAAATTGTTGAGGGGAAACTTAAAGTAGGCTAAAGAGGTGAGGGAGACAGGACAGCTTTGAGTGTTACCTTGACTTACTGTTGATTTCACACTTTTCTCAATGGCTTAGAGACTATATAAAATGTCCATGCAATCAGAATTTCACATTATTGTACTTGACTGTGTATTCAGTTACTTTGCGAGAATGTTGTCTCTGTTTATGCATTATTATGTACTTGTAACTGACTAGTTTTCACTATGACGGTATATTTACTTTACGTCACAGTGTTTTGGAGGATAATTCCATTTTATATCTCTGGTTTTAGTCAAACGTGTTATGCAGGTCTTAAGACACTTTTTTTTCAGTCTTGTCACTTCTGACCAATAAAGAGCATTCCATATGATTTATGTTTTAGAGTTAATTGTTTATTTTTCATTTTAACATTGAATCTCAACATGACAATTAAAGAACCACACATTTATACAAAATACAGTACAGATATTAATTGTACTGCTTGTTAAAATGTCAAATTGTTATGAAAATCAGAACATGCCTTTAAAAAATTTTAACTAGGCAAGTCAGTTAAGAACAAATTCTTATTTACAATAACGGCCTACCTCAGCCCCTCACAAGGAAAAAACAAGAAAAATTTGCTCACAATTATTTGTTAACACTAGCCAGGATCCAAACTTCTACATGGAACCCAAAAGTGTTCTACCTACAACCAAAAAGGGTTCTTCAAAGGGTTATCCTATGGGGACAGACAAAGAACCCTTTAAGGTTCTAAATAGCAACTTTTTTTTTCTAAGAGTGTAGACATTATACCAGCTCACAGAACACCCCCATATACGGCGTACCGATAACCCTCCCACATGTGCACATGGAACCCTGGTGAGACACATGCAGGTGGTAGAAAGACTGCTGCTGCTGAGTCTTGACTTCTTCATGGACCGCTCCACATGGGCACCCCCACTGCAGCTCTGGCTGACTGTTCACTTCATAACTTCTGGTTATGGACCGTTTGTAACCTACACAGTGTTTGGCTCTGGACTGACTGTACTCTTCCTTCTGTCTGGCTCTGGCTGGGCTACTTCCTGTTTTCAGGGTGACAAAGGGAGTTAGGTCAGCCTGATCATGCCGGATCTCCATTCTGTGCAGTGCCATCCTCTGGTGATATCTGCCCCTGCTGTAGAAGGACAGGGATGGTGGGTTAGAGGTTTTGTCCCAGAACACTTCTAATTCTATGGGACGGGGTATTGCTTCAGGTTGAGCTGCAGTGTTCCCAGGAAGATAGATACACTGAGAATTTAAGTCTGCCAGTGAACTCAGTTGGTCCATCTGCCAGCGCAGTGCAAAAACATTGACATTCCCAGCAGATGAAACATTGACACGTAAGCCAACGGTCCAATCACAGTCCTCAGATAGTTTGACCACCCACCTAAGGTTGGTATCAGAGCCGCTATCCTGGCACAGAAGAGTATGGGTGGTGAGTTTGGCAAGCGGGGTGTAGAACACTTTCCTGTGGTCCTGGGAAAGAGACATGCCCCTTCCCAAGCTTGTGGGGTCAAAGGTCAATGTGGTGGTGGGAGGTAACCCTGGGGAACCCTGTATTTCCTGGTAGTTCTCGGGGTCGACCAGAGCCAGAAGAGAACTCCACAGCTGTGTTGTCTGCTCCACAAGCTTTCCTCCGCTCTGTTGTAGCTCCTGGACCAGCTTGTCCCGGTCGGCCCCAGGCTCCAGCCCCTTCCTCAGATCCACAGCTCGGGCCTTCTCCACAGCCTGGTGCACCCCTTCATAACCCTGGAGGAAGTGAAAGGAGTCCCCATCAGACAGGGCAGCCTGCATGGTCCTCTTGGAGGTATTGATGGACATTACGCGAGCTGAGACGGAACTCTGGACGCTGGTCAGGGTGATGTCGCGCAGGGCGGACACTCCCTCAATGAGCCGGACACTGGAGCTAGCCAACCTCTCCCTCTGCTCCTTATCCCACCTGACTAGCTCCAGGCTCTGGCTCTCTCTCGGGGTCAAAGCCTTCTGCTTTTCCTTCAGCTTCTCTCCCAGCTCTTTGTGTGCCTTTGGCAGGGTCTTCATATTGTGGACACGATGCTGGTCCTCGATGGCGCAGGACATGCATGCACTAGTTAGGTCGTCCAAGCAGTAGTACTCAAGAATCTTACCATGGTGGGGGCATTTGGTGGTTGCCCCAATTCCCCCAGCCCCCGGTGCTATGGGTTCAGTCAGGGTATGTGTCTGCAGCAGCAATGGCACTGTCAGGTGCGGCTCCAAGTGCTGGGCACACATGGACATCTCACATTTCATGCAGGTCTTCAACGCTGGCTTTTTGTCATCCACACACATGTCACAAACAACGGCCTGGATCTCAGGCAGCGGCAGAGCCTGGCACCCCTCAGACATGTCTTCTGTGAGCCCTGGTTCGGTTGAAGCTGCCCCAATAAATGGTGGTGGGAATCGGGTGCTTTGCTTTGTCCTTGACCTTCGCATGCTAAAATACCTCTAGCCTCGTAGCCCCTATAATGCTTCTAATGTAAACTTTTTACCTTTCGGTCCGTTTGCTTTTGTTCGTTCTGTCTCTGGTCTGATCTGCGTTTGAGGCCACCTCATGCAATATATGCGTCAGTCCACCAAAAGTTCCTGGTTGCTAAAATTATAATGGTTCGCCTAATTTCAGTTTATGAAACAAAACAAGCTAACCATTGTACAATCTAAAGCACTGTGAAATATCCTTTCGATAAAATATTGTATTTTCAGCTGTCAGGTGCCGTTGTACAAAGCCGAAAGTAAAAAGATGAAAAAACACAATTTAACCGACATGTTAGAAATAGGGCACATAGAACGGATCTACTGCTTCTTAGACTTACTTTCGATGAGTATGACAGATCTATACTTAACATTTCTATGTACATTTGGTCGTGTCGCCCAGAAATCTGCCTTGCTATGTACATGACAGGCAATGGGTGTGTTCGAGTAGTTAGGCTAATGCAGACGGTTACACACAACTACCGAAGTCAACAGGGGAGGTGCATCTGCAGCAACCGAAAGTCAGACACAGTTTGAAGCGAATCAAATACAGATTTTCTGCATATCCGATTCGAATCTGTTCTTTTTCCTGTAGTCTGAACAGCCAAAAAGCATATGGAATGGGATATTTCAAGCCACATTTCCAACCACCTACAAAGCCGCCTCCAACTTTGTTTTAGAGAATTGTGGGGTAAAACTCATTCTGATTGGCCTGGCTCCCAAGTGGGTGGGCCTATACCCTCCTAGGCACATTCGCAACAGTGCCTGAATTGGGCAGGAGCTCACTGGTACTGAGTACCAGCATCTCACATTTTCTACTGCGTAAGATCCTGCACCTCTTATAAAATATTGGCTAAAAGTATTGTGGAGTTCTTGCACCTAAATATAAACAGTACAGGGACCCAAAATGAGTACCAGTGTAACCGGTGTGAAATGGCTAGCTAGTTAGCGGTGCGCGCTAGCAGCATTTCAATCGGTGACGTCACTCACTCTGAGACCTTGAAGTAGTTGTTTCCCTTGCTCTGCAAGAGCCGTGGCTTTTGTGGAGCGACGGGTAACGGCGCTTCGAGGGTGACTGTTGTCGATGTGTGCAGAGGGTCCCTGGTTCGAGCCCAGGTAGGGGCGAGGAGAGGGACGGAAGCAACACTGTTACACCAGCACCTATTTCAGTACAAGTCAAGCACTGGACAACAGCAACACATGGAAATATAGCTGCAAGCAGCAATGCCGGGGTTCAGCTATGGGACCACTGTGCCACCATCAGGAACAATTTGACACATTGCCCTAGGACGAATTACTTCTGTACTGTTTACCACACTTGCCAAATATCAGAACTCAAAATAAAATGCATCATGCAATATGCAGGTAATATGCTTTAGATGTATTTTGGACCATTTTCAATTATGTTGACTACTTTAAATGTTTTCTTCTCCAGAACCGCTGGACTGATCGGCACCAAATGTGGTATATGAATGCACATATTTTCCAAGACTCTAGCTAAACAATACGGCTGCTATAAGCAGTGAGCTTGCATTAATGTTTTTTTCCTGTCCAACAGCGCCACAATGTGGCCAAACTTAACCATTCTTTACAGGCTACCTAGACTCATATCCCTGAACATGTGTGCCAAATTTCATCAGTCTGAGTCAAACAGATCAAGAGATATACCAATGTGCCCGTTATAGCGCCACAGTGTGGTCGATATGAAGGTGCTTGCATATGTTGAGTCTTGACAGTGTTTGCAACATGTGTACCAAGTATTGTTACAATACAAATATTTGTGACTGATTTATAGGGATTTATGTGCAAGACCACGTGAATGTTTATTGGTCAATAGGGGCCATGTTGTTTTTGGTACAAGCCTGAAAAATATTGCTTTGTGAGACCTTGATCCAAAGATGCCACATATGAAGTTTTGTGCAGATCGGTCATTCGGTTCCAGAGGAGTAGTGTTTAAAGTGTTTTTAAAAAAAATCCAAATTGAGAAAAATCCATCATTGCGGACTTTATGGTTCCTTGAGGCCCAATTTTTCCTTGCCATATATACCTATATACCGAATTTCAGAACTGTAGCTCAAACGAGGTGAGGGGCGTGAGCTTTCAAGTTTGCATTTTCAATCGCTTGTTATAGCGCCACCATGTGGCCAATTGGCATGGCATTGTATGAGAGGGTGTGGCCCATGGCCCTTTACCATCATAAACGTTTGCATCCTCCTAGGCCTTATTATCTCACAGGAATTTGCTTTTTTTCAGCAAATTGGCAGAACCAGTATAATAATAACAATGAACCAGAACAAATACAATAGGCTTTCACCAGCTTCGCTGCTGAACCCCTAATAACACCTTTGTTGTTTATTGTACATCCGGCGGTAGACTATATTAAATTCTATATTCATCATAATAGAAGTGCGGTGATGACCAAAAGAAAGCAAGCAGCAGAGCGATGGACAAGCATCTGGATCCAACTGTTGCAGCTAAGCTCACAGAGAAGAAGACTGAGTTAGCTCTAGCTAGGGTGGCATTCACTCCTAGTTGACTTCGAGATAGCGTGGGCAAACTACCAACGCGTGGTCCTTGGTCAGCATCTTTCCATTAGCAGCTCCTTCCAGCAGCCATTAGGGGTCAGCAGCCATTAGGGGTCAGTAGCCATTAGGGGTCAGCAGCCATTAGGGGTCAGCAGCCATTAAGGGTCAGTAGACATTAGGGGTCAGTAGCCATTAGGGGTCAGCAGCCATTAGGGGTCAGCAGCCATTAGGGGTCAGCAGCCATTAGGGGTCAGTAGCCATTAGGGGTCAGCAGCCATTAGGGGTCAGCAGCCATTAGGGGTCAGTAGCCATTAGGGGTCAGTAGACATTAGGGGTCAGTAGCCATTAGGGGTCAGCAGCCATTAGGGGTCAACAGCCATTAGGGTTCAGCAGCCATTAGGGGTCAGCAGCCATTAGGGGTCAGTAGCCATTAGGGGTCAGCAGCCATTAGGGTTCAGTAGCCATGTATCAGGGCAACCACTCCTCTATATATTCTGTATGTTGTTGGTTGTATTTGATGTCCTGTAATTAGTTTCATTGACAAGCTTTTATAACACAAAGCAAATTTAAGTGAAAACAACCAATATAATATTTTCTTGTCCTTATTTTAGGTCAGGCTGCGGTTCATGGTCCAACAGCTGCGCTACGGGATCAGCTGGGACGCAGAGGAGATCTGCGAGGCACGCAGCAAGATTTGCGGACCAAACCAGACACAGGAGAAGGAGAAAGACAAAAAGGAGAAAGAGGTGAAGGAGAAGGTATTGGAGGTGCCTCGCCTCAGTAAGGAGGATGATGGGAGTAACAGGAACAAACATTCACCTGTCTCCACCTCCACTCAACTTAGCAGCCTGTCCTCAGAGTCCTCCTCACCCGTTCCTCGTAAAAGCAGTAAACGCCACCCCATTGTTGCACCCAATAAGCTCAATCTTTCTTGCAGGTCCCCAAAGCTCTCCACTTCCTCCGCGCTCAGTGGCACCCCCCACAACCACAGGGCAACCCCTAGAAACCTGAGACAAAGCCCATGAAAACAACTTCAAACCCCACATGCTCTATCAGGTCTCTCACTTAGAGCTGTGGCGGAGCTTCGATTGTAACAAGAAGCCTTCGAAGGAGGAGCTCCATCGTCTGCAGACCCTCACCAGGCTCCACATGAAGTACATCCGTAAGTGGTTCTGCAACCGACGCTATTCGCTCACGCTTCACTACCAGGTCAAGGCCGACCCAGAGTCAGAGGAGAACGGCAGTCACAGCCCAATGGCCTCCTGTCATCAAAGACACAGCTCATTCAGCATCTGACACAACCAACGCCACCACAACATGACAGCATGTACAGACCACCACCGAAGAAGAAAAGGATGTCTCAGCCAGATGATGTCGACATCATAAGCAGGAGCTGCAATGGTAACCATGACAACCCTACTGACACCACCCACCAGATTAGGTCAAGCTTGGAGTGGAAGGAAGAAGAGAAAGAACCACCTGAAGTACAGAAGAAGAAGAAGAAGAAGAAGAAGAAGAAGAAGAAGAAGAAGAAGAAGAAGAAGAAGAAGAAGAAGAAGAAGGACAAACTGAAGGAGGAGCTGAAAGAGGTGGGGATCACAACATTCATAAACAATCCACGGACGGAGAAGAACAAGCTTTCAAAATGGGCCCACGGCCGAAGAACAACAACAAAACCATGGCCCAGCTGGATCTCCTGAGACACTTCTTCTTGACCTGCCAGGTTTTCTCATACCCTTTTATGTATGAACAGAACTGTTTCTCCATGTTCTGCAAGTGGGTGTCTCTGACAGTGGACTGAGTGGTGTAACAACTGAAAGCATGTATTGAACACAATATGAGACAGTGATTAGAAACTACAAAGAAAGTGAAAAAGAATGCATACTCAGTTTTTTAAATTAATTGCTTGCATTTGTGGATTTTCGTGGTACATTCTCAAAATTGTTAGAGAAAGATACATCCTATTTTATAACTAACCTTATAAAAAAGCTAAACAATGTGTAATTATCCTCCTGTTTGATCACAACTCACAACCTTGCATAACTCAATCATAAACATACACTCAAGTTAGGATTAATTTGGTCATTAGAGAGCGGTCAGTCCCAGTACTGCCTTAGTTCCAGCACTCTGCGGCCTCCACCCTCTGGGGCTGCCAGAACTCTGCTCCCTCGATGATCCGCTTGATCAGATTGGCTGAGGTGATCAACATGTGACCTGCCACCTGGAGGAGGGTGGAGGCCATGCGGAGGGCCTCTCTGAGAGAGAGAGAGAGCAAGAGAGAGAGAGAGAGAGAGAGAGAGAGAGAGAGAGAGAGAGAGAGAGAGAGAGAGAGAGAGAGAGAGAGTGAGTAAGTGAGAGAATTACCATTGTTGCAGATACATCCCACCAGGCTGGAGACGTCCTCCTATCCCCTTCCTCTCCACTTACCTGAGGACTTTTTTGGGCCCCAGACATTTGAAGTCAGCGCTGACGGAGTACCGGCCTGAGAAGGTGCCCTTCACGTTCAGGGAGCCAAACACGTCCTTGGGGTTCTGCCGGTACAGGTCAAAGGTCACGCGGGCTATGTCTCTTCCTGTCCGCGGCTGGCTGGGATCTTGGACTTTTGAGAGCACTGCACCCTGTGGGGTTAGAGTAAGATATGGGGCGAGATGAGAGACAGCAACATGGATGGTGTCACCGTGTAATCGAACCAGGAAAAACTCTGGGCCTTTAAGATTTTCCTGATCAGGGCCCATATCCAAATACCGACTCAGAGTGGGAGTGCTGATCTAGGATCAGTTTTGCCTTATAGATCATAATTGATAAGATTATATGGACATATCCTAGATCAGCAATCCTACTCTGAGATGCTTTGTGGATATGGGCCCAGGTCATGTGGTAGGTCTAGAGAAAAACTCAGGGCCCTACTCATCTCACTTGGCAGCTGACATGGGTGTGTACAGTCGTGGTCAAACGTTTTGAGAATTACACAAATACTAATTTTCACAAAGTCTGCTGCCTCAGTTTTGGTGATGGCAAATTGCATTTACTCCAGAATGTTATGAAGAGTGATCAGATGAATTGCAATTAATTGCAAAGTCCCTCTTTGCCATGAAAATGAACTTAATCCCAAAAATACTTTTCCACTGCATTTCAGCCCTGCCACAAAAGGACCAGCTGCCATCATGTCAGCGATTCTCTCGTTAACACAGGTGAGAGTGTTGACGAGGACAAGGCTGGAGATCACTCTGTCATGCTGATTGAGTTAGAATAACAGACTGGAATCTTTAAAAGGAGGGTGGTGCTTGAAATCATTGTTCTTCCTCTGTTAACCATGGTTACCTGCAAGGAAACACGTGCCATCATCATTGCTTTGCACAAAAAGGGCTTCACAGGCAAGGATATTGCTGCTAGTAAGATTGCACCTAAATCAACCATTTATCGGATCATCAAGAACTTCAAGAAGAGAGGTTCAATTGTTGTGAAGAAGGCGTCAGGGCGCCCAAGAAAGTCCAGCAAGCGCCAGGATCGTCTCCTAAAGTTGATTCAGCTGCGGGATCGGGGCACCACTTGTGCAGAGTTTGCTCAGGATTGGCAGCAGGCAGGAGTGAGTGCATCTGCACGCACAGTGAGGCGAAGACTTTTGGATGATGGCCTGGTGTCAAGAAGGGCAGCAAAGAAGCCACTTCTCTCCAGGAAAACATCAGGGACAGATGGATATTCTGCAAAAGGTACAGGGATTGGACTGCTGAGGACTTGGGTAAAGTCATTTTCTCTGATGAATCCCCTTTCAGATTGTTTGGGGCATCCGGAAAACACCTTGTCCGTAGAAGACAAGGTGAGCTCTACCATCAGTCCTGTGTCATGCCAATAGTAAAACATCCTGAGACCATTCATGTGTGGGGTTGCTCCTCAGCCAAGGGAGTGGGCTCACTCACAATTTTGCCTAAGAACACAGCCATGAATAAAGGATGGTATCAACACTCCCAACCAAAATATTGTGGTTAAACTCAAATATACTAATTGACAAAAAACCTTTTATTTTGACAACATAAAAAAAAAAAGGTATAATCTTCGTAAATGATATCATCGGTAGGACTGGTGGAGTTATGTCGCACATGCAGCTAACAAAAACATATGGAAATGTCTGCTCTACCCAAAATTAGAACCAAATAATTGCAGCATTACTGCAAAAATGGAAGAGGAAAGTGGAAGGGGGAGAAAGTAAGGAACATGTCTGTCGGCCTTGCATTAAAGAACATAATTGGTTAAAGAAAACTGTGATAAATAAAAAAGTATACCAGTTTAATTTAAGGACCAAAGGATTGACAGCCGTCCCATATAGATTGCAAAATAGTTGGGAAGAGATTTTTTACGTACCGATCCCATGGCATAGTGTTTATGCACTTATGCAAAACGACGCCGGATTCAAAACTTAGAATTTTTCAATTTAAACTATTATATAAAATTCTTGCTACCAATAGAATGTTATTTATATGGGGGATACAATCTTCCCAGCTCTGCAAATTTTGCCTGCGAAGAGACAGAATCGTTAGATCATTAGTTTTGGTACTGTCCATTTGTAGCTTATTTTTGGACACAGGTACAGGAATGGCTAAAGGATTGTAATATTTACCTGGAGCTAACCTTGCAGATAGCATTACTGGGTGATCTGAAAAGTCATAGTCAATTGATCAATAATATAATAATACTTTTAGCAAAATTGTTTATTTTTAATTTACAATCTGTAGAAACAATGAGAATAGAAAGGTTCAGAACTTTTGTAAAACATCACAGTACAGTTGAAAAATATATGGCAAATAGAAATAGATGGGTGGTGTTGAATGGAGTTGAAGGATGGGACTAATAACAACTAACAACAACTAATAACAAGATAACTAATAATGTAAGCATACTGTGTCCATAATAAGTATATAGGTTGTAGGTTGGGAGCTTTTGTGAAAGAGCACAGTTAGAAAGATATGGCATTTAGAAGCAAACCGGGTGGACATCATGAAAATGATCAGAGAGGTTGAGGGTAGAGGAAGTTCAGGAGAAAAAACAAACATAATATAATTATTATAAAATGGACTGTGTCCATAAAATTGATATAGTATGTATAAGCTGGAAGTAGAGGCCTAAGCATTGTTGTTCACTAGTTTACTCCAATTAGGGAAGGGGTGGTGGAGTTGGAAAGTAATAAAGGGGACAAGAATGTTTAAAAAAAATATTTAAAAAAATTCTCCCAACCATCCAAGAACAGTTTGGTGACGACCAATGCCTTTTTCAGCATAATATAATAAATAATAATATGCCATTTAGCAGACGCTTTTATCCAAAGCGACTTACAGTCATGCGTGCATAAAAATGTTTTGTGTATGGGTGGTCCCGGGGATCGAACCCACTACCTTGGCGTTACAAGCACCGTGCTCTACCAGCTGAGCTACAGAGGACCACATGATGGAGCACCTTGCCATAAGGCAAAATAGATAACTAAGTGGCTCTGGGAACAAAACATAGACATTTTGGGTCCATGGCTAGGAAACTCCCCAGACCTTAATCCCATTGAGAACTTGTGGTCGATCCTCAAGAGGCTTTTGGACAAACAAAATCCCACAAATTCGGACAAACTCCAAGCATTGATTATGCAAGAATGGGCTGCCATCAGTCAGGATGTGGCCCAGAAGTTAATTGACAGCATGCCAGGGCGGATTGCAGAGGTCTTGAAAAAGAAGGGTCAACACTGCAAATATTGACTCTTTGCATAAACTTAATGTAATTGTCAATAAAAGCCTTTGACACTTATGGAATGCTTGTAATTATACTTCAGTATACCATAGTAACATCTGACAAAAATATCTCATAACACTGAAACAGCGAACTTTGTGAAGACCAGTACTTGTGTCATTCTCAAAACTTTGGACCACGACTGTATACCTGTACATACTGTCCAATCCCTAACACAGGTCAGACGAAACACATTCACATGTACATGCCCAGATCACGACAGAGACAGAAAGTGTCAAACCTACCAAAGGGGGTTTCCATGTCTGTCCAGGTTCCAGGGCCATGAGGACAGTGTTGTCAGGCAGAGACATTAGGATGTCTTCAGAGTCCACCACTGTCCCGTCCTCCTCACACACCAGCACCACAGCCAGACTGGACAGACAAAGCATCAGGGCCTGGTACACCTGGGGTAGCAGCAGAGAGAGACATATTCAGAGGACGGACAGAAAGACACAGTGTGTGTATTTTGTAGCCACAATTACATTCTCCATTGGCATTCGCTCTGTGGTCCTTTGTAGCTCAGTTGGTAGAGCATGGCACTTGTAACGCCTGGGTAGTGGGTTTGATTCCTGGGACCACCCATAGGTAAAATAAGTGCATGCATGACTGTAAGTTGCTTTGAATAAAATCGTCTGCTAAATGGCATGTATTATTATCCTTGATCTGGCCTTGCTTGGGTCGTCACTAGTTACCCCAGCCATAAAGTCATAAACCCCCCCAATGTCTTAAGTTTCTATTCTTTAAATCGTATTTTAAACCTAACCCTAACCTGAAACCTAACCTTAACCACACTGCTAACCTTATGCCTAACCCTAACCTTAAATGAAGACAAAAAAGCTACTTTTTGTTTTCATAAATTTTTACAATATAGTCCATGTTGACTTTGTGGCTGTGGTAACTAGTGGAAACTCCTTATAATTAGAGGCCAGAGCTTTTACTGGTAAGGTCACATGGTCCGGAAAAATTCCTGGCCTTAATTATAATAACCCCCACTTTTCCTTTAGTTTTTCTCTCTTTTTTGTATTTTCATCATGTCTTTCTCTTTCTCACCCTCTCTCTCAGCTCCTCCAGGGTAGCGGCTGTGACTCCCTTCCTGGTGCCCCTGTCATGGGAACACACCCTGAATGGTCTCTGGGGGGCCGGGGCCAACGACCACACCCGCCTGGTCACAGACCTGTGGAGGAAGAGGATGGAAGAAGATGTTCACAAGGCCAGATACAGCCAGCTTGAGGTAGAATTTGCGCAACCTGGTCCCAGATCTGTTTATGCTCTCTAACCAATGCCTACAGTCATTGTCATTTGTCATGCTAACAGATCTGAACCAAGCTAGAAGTTGCCCTGTTCTTGGATCAGTTTACCCCACACACCAATCTTAACCTGAACCATGAAGAAGATGTCCAACATGACCCTGTATCAGTGGTTAGGGACAACTTCTACCTATTCCCTAGTCCATAGATACACAGATAATACATTTGTACTGCACATAAGTTAATTTGGCCCAGGAGAGCTAGAAAGACGAATGTATATACTGGTTGACTGGAGATAAACCTACCTTTATGACTCACTATAATATTATAGTGCAGAACAGATACAACTGTATCTCTATGTGTAGATGTTATCTAGATACATTTACATTTTAGTCATTTAGCAGACGCTCTTATCCAGAGCGACTTACAGTTTTTAGTGAGCGCATACATTATTATTTATTTAAATGTTTCATACCCCCCGGGGGAATCGAACCCACAACCCTGGCGTTGCAAACACCATGCTCTACCAACTGAGCTATATCCCTGCCGGCCATTCCCTCCCCTACCCTGGACGACGATGGGGCAATTGTGCGCCGCCCCATGGGTCTCCCGGTCACGGCCGGCTACGACAGATACAGTATGACGCTATGTTTTTCTAAGGTGTTCTGTATTATTTACTACTGCTGCTGAGGTATAACATCTCGTGGACAGACTACGTCATTGAGGATCTGACTAAATTGCGCAAGATTTGAGTTCTGGGTTAACCGAGGTTAGCTGAGGTACAACGTGTTTTAAGGGCGGTGGTGTGGGCTGAGAGGTATACAGAAAGAGATTGAGACTGATTGGAAGACAGGGACAGATCAATCCTAGCTTCATCAGGTGGAAACAGTGTCTGTTTGACAACAAAGGGTGGAAATAAGTAGAGGAAACACTTTCTATTCTAACTGTCTGTCCAACTTCAATTAAAGCCCTCAATTATATACATTTTCCAGTGGTTTGTTGCCATTGTGCCTTATTGTCAAATCTCTTGGCTCGCAACAGCGTACGCCTTTACAAGTACAGTGATACAGTATTATAAAATAGCCTACCCAATCAGAAACTTATCAGAAATAATGTCTGGAAACATTATCCAGACACAGCTATTAGCAAGTAAGTGTACTTGCTTTATTAATGATGCTGTTGACTCCATATCCCACTGCCTTTCTTTCCTTCTCTCTCTTCTTTACCTCCTGTTTTTCCTCCTGTTGTTAGTGCTAGGTCGCCTCTGATTCTCAATGTCTGACCCAGCTAATTCTTTAGGACGGACTTTGTCCTGATGAATCAGATACAGACACATTGGGCAAAGTTTTGTGTGCGTGTGTGTGCATGCGTGTGTGTGAGAGAGAGCGAGAGTGAGAGAGAGAGGAAGAGAATAACACTGACCTATATCATTGACTGTGCCATGGCATTCAATCTACATTTGGAAAATGTTTTTACATGATATCAGCACAGAAATTTTTTATTTTTTATTTTTTAAAATTTAAATTACGGTAATCATGGAGATTATACATTAATTCATACGTCACATCCTGCAAGAAGAGAAGGCGGGGGAAATGTGGTTTTGGAGGAAAAGATGGCGGAAGCGGACGCTGATGTGGATCTTGAATCTAATAGCGGTGGAATCTATGAGAATTGGACTATTGTCGAAAAGAATGGAAAAGGGAGCAAAGTAGCGTACAGTGCTGAGAATGTCCCTTCGTATCTTGTAGGACTACGGTTTATTAACGAGGAGAAGCGGATCGGATTACCAATCTTGAAGAATCCATTTGAGATATCCAAACTGGTGGAGAAAGTGCTGGGTAAAGTGAAGGATGTGAGGATTACGAGAGGCAGGCCTGTTTAGATTTTTTGTACTTTTGAGGATCATAAGAAGTTTGATGTGTCGTGTGTGTCTCTTCGGAACAGGGCACCGCCAAGGGGGTAATACCTGGCGTCTCGTGGGAAGTATGTTGCAGAGATGACATTTCTGGAGTGATTGATGCATGTCGGATGAATCGTGTGGTGAATGGAAAAAAAGTCAAGTCTGTTCTTTTGTTTTTTGATATGGAGTCTCTCACTTACTCAAGTGTAGTTTGGGTATATAAACTACAGAGTAGAACATGTATCCCAAGACCAATGCAGTGTGATCATTTCTAAAGCTTTTGAACATGTTTCAAGTGTTTGCAGAAGGGAGAAGCCGAGATGTCCAAGATGTGGAAAAGTACATCAGTTTTAAAAGTGATGAAAATGTAACATGTTGCAATTGTGGTGGGAACCATGAAGCTATGTCTTTTGGAATGCTCGACAAGGTTAAGAGAATTTGGCCAAAGTCAGGGCTGTCCAAAGCATTTCATATGCAGCGGCTGTTAAAAGGGATGAGGGTTCGAATGGTACTCCTAAAGAGACCATGGTGGTGGATAGGCCTTCACCAGCAAGACCCATATGTTTTAAAGGTTAAGAAGGTGGCCTTTATAGCTATGGTGATTAATGGCACTGCCAAGCTGGAGAGGAAATTCCGGAAAATATATATCATTGTGGATGCGGTTCATGGGACTGAACTGAAAGACTTCTCGGGGGAGGAGTTGCATGGAATATTGTCACGAGCCGTACCACCCTCTCAGGCCCTAGAGCCTGATAAGGGAAATATGGAGATTTGAAGGAAGTGGGAGTTTTGTTTTTGTCAATGTACTATTTTTTTATTTGGGTGGATTAAGTTAGTTTTCCCTATCACGTATGGATTTTCTTTTTACCTTGTTTTTTCAACCTGTCCAGTTGGTGGCAGCAATGCATATTTTTGGGTTGTAGAAGAAGAATACGTTTTATCACTTGCTTCAGTCAGTAAAGGAAGAGGTGGAGAGTATGGGATGTAGGAGAGCAGAAGTTGTGTGGAGTAGACTACGGTTTGGGCATACAGGTTTGAATGCCACGTTGTGGATGATAGGGAGACATGAAACAGGTCGGTGTGATGAGTGTTTAGTGGAGGAAACGTGGCGCAGGTGTTGATATTTTGTGAAATGTATGACATAGATAGGGAGAAATTGTGTGGAAGGGTTTGCGAGGCTGGTTTGGGTGGTGTAGTAGGGGGAGGGAAGTGGTGTCTAGAGCTCTATTTCACTTTCTTAGAGCAACAGGACTAATGAAAATAATGTAATGTAGTTAGGCCGTGACTGGCCTCACACTCCAATACAGTAGGTGGCGGTGTATGCACCTTGAAAGTTGGATGCGATCCGCCAATCCCGAAGGAGGAGAAGAAGCAGAGACTGCAGGAGAACTGAGCTTGTTTTTATTCCTAAAATTAACAAACTTTTATGATCAAAGTCAGTGTAATAGACACAGAATAGCAACATCGAGAGTTGCATGTTTTCGGTTTGTATTGCTAGCTAATCACTTGTTATTGTAACCTCGTCGTTAACTTATCCAGCAATCTCAGAATAAACACTTTGTTAGCCTAGCTAGCTACAAAGTTGTCAACAAAGTTGGCTAGGGAAGTTAGCTAACGCTAGCTAGCTATCCTAAGCTAAGTATAAAAATCGACCTAAATTCGGACGAGACGATATGGCAACTAAGAAGTCATCTGAAATGGGTAATTACTTTTGTATTTCCAAAAGTTTTCTCTTTGCATTGACAGCTAGTGAGCAAACACTAGGAGTAGCAATCATTAACTGCAAAGAAACAGTAGCTAGCTATGGCGGGTTAGCCAGCCCAAAACAAAATAAACCTGATGGTTGCCAAACTAGCTACCTAAATCAGTACTGTAGTCAAATAATCTCATAAAACAATACAGTTAGTCACAGTGTTAGCAAAGGCTAAGTGACATTGACAGTCTCCTAACAGTTTTACAACCAGTCAAAACATTCTGGTGTCTTTATCAACCATTCTATAATTATAAGGGCTTGTAGAAAATGGTTGCTAACAACAACTACTTGAAATTGTAACATTTTTGCCAAATATTTTTCGTATTGTCGATATGTGTGTGGTAGGAAGTTGTCAGTAATATGTTGTTAGTAGAATTTTCAGTCCAATAAACATTATCGTAACAATGAGCCATTGATATTATATCAAACACATTTGAAGTAAAGTAGGAAGTTCTGCTCAGTAATAGATTAATTACACCCTGACCATCTTAAAGGGATAGTTCACCCAAATTATAACAATTACACATTGGTTTCCGTACCCTGTAAGAGTCTATGGGCTTGCCTGAACATCACTGTTACCATGGTTACTCCATCGATTTTCAATCTGACGGAAGTCCCCCTAAAAAAGACGCAATAGTCTCTAAAAGCCAGAATGTTGAATAAAATTATATTTACACTTACTTTACCTGTTGTACATGTTGTTGGTGCTTTTGGCAGTATAAGGTGGAAAGTGTTTACTTAACTTTTTGCGCTGCCGGTAGGTTCTGTCGATTGAATTTTCAATCTCTTGATGCATTGCACGTGATGCACAATATGTCAACAATAGCCAAATGTAACTGAACGTAGTCGACTGAAGCACGTTTCCTTGCAATCAGCTGGAAGTGTTTGCTGTTCGATTAGGCTTGGCCATATTGTGCAAGTGTTTGTCATGTGCGAATTGCATCAGTATTGAAAACGGAAATACAAACTGATATACTGACCAGCGTACTGAAGGTCGGGTTGATAACACTTCCGTGTGGATATTTTGTATCAGATTACCTCCGACATGGGGACAAAATCGGCGGACAATAGGTAAAGTAAGTGGAAATGAAGTTTGTTCAACATTCTGACTTGTAATGGGACTGTTCGGAAATGCTGAGCCTACATGTTAGAGGTGAGTGTAAGTATTTCACTCTCAGATTCTAAAAGAGGATATCTATGGACAAGGTCTGGCCCTGTTTCCACATGCTAATGTTTTAGCATTTGTGGCACAAATCCCATTCAAGTCATGGGACAGATATTAGCATTGTGTCCAAATCATCCAAAAGTATCTCAAATTGATTGAGAAGCTCAACAAAGTCACTTATATGATTTGAACATGATGCGCGAAAAAAGGCTACCAGTCACTCCTCTAGTACTAAGTGATTAACCGAAATTTCAGTTATTTTTTAGGTTTTTAAACAACTAACGTTAATTGACTAACTTCGGTTCAATTATTAGTATTGATTTTTATTTTTCTGTGAGCTCAATGCGCACATTGCAGTTTCTCTAGAGAGAAATCAGATCAAGCCTGAACTGTGCGATGTAGTAGGGAGTTGTAGTTTCCAACAGGTCAATATTCTACATAATTTAGTGCAGAAAATGTGGTAATTAACTACAATGACCATAATCCCTTGCATGCCTACTCCGATATGTTTCTCTTTTACGCCTGCTACGTTAGGTTAGTGTGGGGCAGACAAGGAGAGAGAAGAGACAGAAGAATGTGCGATCGAGAGGGATAGAGAGCATTATCTAAGTGATTGATAGTTGGTATTCAGCATTTATAAAAGTATGCCTTATATACTTTGAAGAACTACTCAAATAGTGATTTTGTCAGACAGCATAGGCAGCAGCTCTATAGAGTTGATGACTTGGAATTAAATAAAGTCAGCAAATAAAACAAATGTAATATACACAATAACTGAAATATTTTATTAAAGTAATGTGAATAACTGATGGTTAATAAGTGATAAGCAGTAATGGGCAGTCACTACCATCATGTGACTTTGATTCTTTTTGAATAATCAAACCAAAACCGAACAGACCAAAAAAAAGCACTAACTCGTCCCTCTCTAGCCCCCTCAGACATCTCCCTCTCCTCCCTACGTCTCCTGGCCCCTCCCATCCGGCTGGTCTCTGCTGCCATGTGGAAGGTGATGAAGCAACGCGATGTGATGCGTTATGGGACTCTGGAGGAGTTTGTGACATCCTGCTGTGAGACTGTCCCTGGCCTGCTCACATCTAGACACCAGGCCAAGCTGGCTCTGGGGCTGAGAACACGGGTGTGTGTGGAGGATGATATTGTTGACCCATGGCCATAAGTCTTGGGACAGTCATGTTGTAGTAAAAATGGGTTGCATTCATTTGGCACCAAACGGTTGAAAACTGACAAACAGGGAGGGACTACCTGAACTTGTCCAATAAGAAAGGCTCAATTTCGTTTTCCGTTGCTATGGTGCGACTTAATGAATACGACCCTGTATGTGCTTCCACTGTATGAGCTGTCAGACTCTGTTCAGTCCCTAATTATCATGTCTCTGGTAATTTGTAGTTGATCTTAGAGCTGTGCCATGGCATGGACCCACCAGATCCAGCGGTTATCCTTCCCCAGCTGGAAAGGATCCGTGCCCCCACCCCATCCTCTGCCCTGGTGAGTGACAGTCAAATGCGGGCCTTTCTATAAGTCAGCAGTTCTCTGTACTGCGAGACGAGTGTGGTATTTTAATGGTCTTTTATCACTTCACTGCTTTGTACCCTAGGAATGATTTTGTGAGAAATACAGTATGTTTGCTGTAAGTGATGTCTTTGCATGCCTATGTTGCAGAAAAAGGATGTGAAGATTGAAACAGCGGTGACCAACCTCCGGCACCTGGTTGAAAGCTTTCTGAAAGACCCCACAGAGCGAGCACTATTCTACAAGGTCAGACTGCCGCTTTGTTTTATTGTTTGACTGAGCAGCTTTTCGGGGAAGCAGGTAGCCTAGTGGTTAGAGTGGCGAGCCAGCAACAGGAGGGTTGCCCTGTCGAATCCCGGGTCCAACGGAAAAAATCAGTCAGGAAGTGAGCTGGCAACCGGAGGGTTGCTGGTATCAAATCCTAGATGCCATTGCCTGCTGTTGTGCCCTTGAGCAAGGCACTTAACCCCCCCATAACAACAGCTCCCCGGGCATGAATGTGTCTTTCGGAGGGGTTGGGTTAAAAGCAGAAGTCAAATTTCGGTTGGACCTTGTGTGCAATTGACCAATAAAGTGATCTTAATTAGAGACCATTCACTGTAGCCCTCATACGACCATCCTGATCTCGCGAGCTTACATTCTGTTTCGCTATGGTCGTACGAGGCTACGTCCACTGAGGAACTCTCAAATTCTCTGTCCCCCTCTCGTTTACTCCCTACAGGTGGAGTTTCCGTCAGAGTATGGCCCTCAGTTTGACCAGGAGCTGGAGAAACTGCTGTGGGAGTTCCTGCTCAGACTGGACCAGCTTCTCCCAGTGCCCAACCTGGCTCAGACGGTGTCGTGGCTCACTGAAGCCCCTCCTGTCCTGGAGGAGTGTGCACAGGCTGCCTCCCAACCCCAGCTCCTGAGGACCCTGCTCCAGCACCAGACGCTTCTGGGACACCTGGATTCTGCAGGTGGGTCTACAGAGGGTGCGTTCCAGGCCGACTACATTGCAGTCGCCTGCCAGATTTCACAGTGCCTGGGATAGATGTTTAACATATCAGCTAACCTCATCTCTTTTGTTACCTCCTATCAGCTTCTCTCCCTCCATGTATGGGCGACTACCTCCTCTCATCCCTGTCTCTCCCTCCCTCTGGAAGAGTGCAGCAAAGCGACCAATCAGGATCTAAGCCTGCCTCAGTTTCCACCCCAAGCCCTCTGTCTTTAACCCCATTAACCAATCACAGACAGACAAACTGGTCATCGCCCGTCGCACCTGTGATTGGCGGGATTTGCAACGAAGACCTTCCAGTCATGGCTTCAGCCAATAAGAGGGCAAGAACTTGCCAGGAAGGCGTTATTATCCAATCAGTTTCAAGAGATGTGGAGGAGGACGCTGAGTCAACGGAGAGGTCAAAATATACATGGGTCATAAGCAGAGTAGAGGAATCCGAAGAGGAGATCATGAGAAGGGGGAGGAGGAGGAGTGTGAGAGACGGAGGGAGTAAAAGAGTGCTCAGGAGAGGGCGTGGGGGACAGTTTGTTAGAGATGGAGAGAATGAAGAGGAGGATATGACGAGTGTTATAGATGGAGAGACTGAGAGAGACCTTCTTAGGGATTGTTTGGTCCAGTTGGGGATCGCAGACCTCAAGGTTCCGGAAGACCATCGCATCTATTCTTACATCGCATCCTGTCTGCTCAACAAACCCAGGGTGCTCATCCCCCGACTAACTTCCACAGACATCACTGCACTTGTGAGGTCACAATCTCCTCCTTCCCGCAGCAACGGGACACCAACAGCAGGGGAAGGGAGCTCTCCATTGGGACAGAACAGTTGCCGGTGATAACCGCATGTCGGCTTCCTTCGACCCGGCAACGGAAGTTGAGTGACAGCTCGTTGACCCTAGATATGGAGCTTCCAGCATCAGCTGACAAAGAGGAAGAGAAAGACAGGTGCTGATTAATTAAACAACCAAGGAGACTTCTACTTGCCTGGTTGCCAGATCTGGCTGTGCTTTCTTTAGCGAAATCCCCTCTTTGTTCATCATTCCATACATTCATCATCTCCTACATGTACTAAATGGCATGACGGCAAACAACTGTGGAATTGTTTAAAGCACAAACAGATCTAGCAACTGGGCCAGTCAAATATCCACTAGTACTACCAGTTGTTTTTCTATATCGCTTTTGTGCTATTTTCACAAGTATGTGGTGAATTTTCAAAACGCTTTGTACAAAACTCCAACTGGTAACACTTGTAACACAGCAAGACTCGTTGAAAACTTTATTCTGCATTCATTTTGTTTGAAGACTACTTTCACCACACAAAAGGTGCTACACCTAGAATTTCTCCCCCATGTGGAAGCTAGGTGAATTGCAACAGCACTAGGCTGCATTCCCCTGCATCCCATTTTCCCATAACATGGCGGAGACTCGCGCTTGAACCTTTTACTTTCGGTTTTGATTCACCAGGTTCAAACAGCTGTAAAACTGTTTTGTTATTGAAAATATGTCACAGCGATTTAGATGGTACAATGATTCCCTACACTATTCAACGCTTGTTTTCTCGCATAAACTGAAATTGAGCAAACCGTGAAGAATTTTAGCAACCAGGAAATGACAGAGAGTTCTACATTGGCCGCTTGACCCGATTTCCACTATATAACAGCCACAAAGTCAAAACAGCTTTTCCATTTTGACAATAGATGCCGCTTTGGCGGGAGAAATCAATAGGCGAATATCATAGCCAGTCACAACACTGGCAGGTAAGTAATACTGTGAAATACTATCATTCCACTATTACTGCAGATATGTTATAGACATTTTCTGAAATTACAATGCAATTATTATTTTTTTAATCCTATGTGTAGCACCTTTAATCTAAAATAGAAGTTTACTGTGAAATACCATGAACATTGATTTAATCACCAAAACACAACACAATTTCTTCTCAATTTAGGTATTTTAACAACCAGTTAATCCAATAGCAAAAAATGCAAGACCCATGTTTCAAAATTGACCTTTGAATGTAATATGCTACAGTGTGATCATTGAAGACATCTTTCACGATCATTGATGAAAAAAAAAGTATATATTGTTAAGATATCATTACAAAATAGGTGTACAACAGCGCTAATGTCAACAAAATGCATGTTGATCTTTACTGGCTTAAAGCAGAGGAGAGATTGTAAGCATACTTTCTCGTTTTGTAAGAAATATTAATGTGTTGAACTCAACTGTCTACTCAATCAACTAACATACAGCTCTGACAAACATTTCATATTCCACAAGACATGCAACCAGAGGTCTCTTCACAGTCCCTAAAGCCAAAACGAATTCAAGGCAATGCCCAGTAATACTGTATATAGAGCCATATAGCATGGTACTACCTGCCATCTCGAATCACTCAAGCAAGCAGCAAAATTAGCATCTCCCTCCCGAGCACTTGCTTGGGTTAAAGATGTGGCCTTGGCATTAGGATATCAGGCCCTGCTTAGAGAAAGCAATTGTAAGCAAAGCCTCAGTAGAGTAAGGATATACGAAAGGTGTACCGCAAGGGTCGGTATTGGGACCTGTTTGACTATTTATATAAATAATAGATTTAAAACTTGTACTTAATGCAGGGCAAAACTAAATATGTTTTCTAATTCACTGACAAATGTCTCAGATGGTCTACATATTCACTCTTTGGATGGCTCTATCATCGATTGGGTTCCCGCCTATAAATATCCTGCAGGCGCCCAGCTTGCCATAAGGAGTCGCTAAAGCGCAATGAGCCAAGTAAAGCCCCCCCGGCCAAACCCTCCCCTAATCCAGACGACGCTGGGCCAATTGTGCGCTGCCCTATGGGGCTCACGACACAGCCTGGGATGGAACCTGGGTCTGTAGTGATGCCTCAAGCAGTGCCTTAGACCGTTGCGCCACTCGGGAGGCCTCACCTTTTAATTTTAACTCACCACAGTTATGGAATGAATACCTTGCTAAACAAATTAGACCTGGATTCCGTAGTGCCGATAGGGCAGTTTAAAACTGTTAAATTAGTTTACTGAAGTGTGCAATTGTTTCAATTGACTTTTAAACTTGTTGAAATAACCTGATGTAATGTATTTATAGCTGTCTTGTAGTTATCATTTTTTTTTGTGTTGATGGAATTTTTGTCCTCAGGGCACCATTGCAAATGAGGTACTAGTCTCATTTGGGCTCCCTTGAATAAATAAAGGTAAATATATATTTTTAAAAATTATTGTGCTCCGTATGATATGATACTCTGCTCAGCTCGCTGGCTAACTGATGATGTGAGAATCTCTCAGGTTGTTTTAAAGAACATTGGTGTAGTGACATTAGAATACCAGGGCCTGCCTCAGTAGAGCAAAGTATTATTGATGTATGACATTACATTTACATTTTAGTCATTTAGCAGACGCTCTTATCCAGAACGACTTACAGTTAGTGAGTGCATACATTATTATTTATTTTTTCATACTGGCCCCCCGTGGGAATCGAACCCACAACCCTGGTGTTGCAAACGCCATGCTCTACCAACTGAGCTACATCCCTGCCGGCCATTCCCTCCCCTACCCTGGATGACGCTGGGCCAATTGTGCGCCACCCCATGGGTCTCCCGGTCACGGCCGGCTACGACAGAGCCTGGATTCAAACCAGGATCTCTAGTGGCACAGCTAGCACTGCAATGCAGTGCCTTAGACCACTGCGCCACTCGCTGAAGTGTATAAAAGTGTGTTCTTATTTCCATTTATTTAGTTATGTCCTAGAGTTGATTCCTAGTGTGTGTGACTGGTGGACGATGCTGGAGGGGAATGAAGGTGGTAATGTAAGACAAGTTGTTGAGGTGGAAACCATTAAGTTGAAACTTTAGCGGGAGGAAACTCCACACTATTCAAGGTTACTGTGTTCACCTCTGTTAACTCTGAGGTGAAAAGCCTCAGTGGGAGCCAAGGACCTTAGGTGAAACTCCCATCTGATTCTGGTTCATTTTAAATGAGCAGGAGCCTAACAGCTCCATCTGATTCACAGGGACCTTGTTCATTTCATGAGTAGGTCCAAAGCCTAGTACAATACCTCAGATAACCCTTCATGGGTGGTAGACTGTAACACGTCACACTATACTTCAGATAACCCTTCATGGGTGGTAGACTGTAACACGTTACACTATACCTCAGATAACCCGTTAAGGGCAATACTGTAACAAGGCTCAAGATTCAAGGAATTTAGCTCATTGTTATGAGCATGGGTGAAGGAAGCGAAGTGAAGCCTGTATGTCTGATTAGTTTAGTTCATTTTATGAGCTGAATGGGGGTGAAGGACGTTAGGTGAAGCCCAGTATGATGAAAGTTCTGTTCATTCTATGAACTTACGTAAGGATGTACAGTGGGGGGAAAAAAGTATTTAGTCAGCCACCAATTGTGCAAGTTCTCCCACTTAAAAAGATGAGAGAGGCCTGTAATTTTCATCATAGGTACACGTCAACTATGACAGACAAAATGAGAAAAAAAATCCAGAAAATCACATTGTAGGATTATGAATGAATTTATTTGCATATTATGGTGGAAAATAAGTATTTGGTCAATAACAAAAGTTTCTCAATACTTTGTTATATACCCTTTGTTGGCAATGACACAGGTCAACCGTTTTCTGTAAGTCTTCACAAGGTTTTCACACACTGTTGCTGGTATTTTGGCCCATTCCTCCATGCATATCTCCTCTAGAGCAGTGATGTTTTGGGGCTGTCGCTGGGCAACACGGACTTTCAACTCCCTCCAAAGATTTTCTATGGGGTTGAGATCTGGAGACTGGCTAGGCCACTCCAGGACCTTGAAATGCTTCTTACGAAGCCACTCCTTCGTTGCCCGGGCGGTGTGTTTGGGATCATTGTCATGCTGAAAGACCCAGCCACGTTTCATCTTCAATGCCCTTGCTGATGGAAGGAGGTTTTCACTCAAAATCTCACGAAACATGGCCCCATTCATTCTTTCCTTTACACGGATCAGTCGTCCTGGTCCCTTTGCAGAAAAACAGCCCCAAAGCATGATGTTTCCACCCCCATGCTTCACAGTAGGTATGGTGTTCTTTAGATGCAACTCAGCATTCTTTGTCCTCCAAACACGACGAGTTGAGTTTTTACCAAAAAGTTCTATTTTGGTTTCATCTGACCATATGACATTCTCCCAATCCTCTTCTGGATCATCCAAATGCACTCTAGCAAACTTCAGACGGGCCTGGACATGTACTGGCTTAAGCAGGGGGACACGTCTGGCACTGCAGGATTTGAGTCCCTGGTGACGTAGTGTGTTACTGATGGTAGACTTTGTTACTTTGGTCCCAGCTCTGCAGGTCATTTACTATATTTATATTTTTATATTTATATTTTATATTTTTTATTTAGCAGACGCTCTTATCCAGAGTGACTTACAGGAGCAATTAGGGTTAAGTGCCTTGCTCAAGGGCACATCGACAGATTTTTCACCTAGTCGGCTCAGGGATTAGAACCAGCGACCTTTCGGTTACTGGCACAACGCTCTTAACCACTAAGCTACCTGCTACCTGCCGCCCACTAGGTCCCCCTGTGTGGTTCTGGGATTTTTGCTCACCGTTCTTGTGATCATTTTGACCCCACAGGGTGAGATCTTGCGTGGAGCCCCAGATCGAGGGAGATTATCAGTGGTCTTGTATGTCTTCCATTTCCTAATAATTGCTCCCACAGTTGATTTCTTCAAACCAAGCTGCTTACCTATTGCAGATTCAGTCTTCCCAGCCTGGTGCAGGTCTACAATTTTGTTTCTGGTGTCCTTTGACAGCTCTTTGGTCTTGGCCATAGTGGAGTTTGGAGTGTGACTGTTTGAGGTTGTGGACAGGTGTCTTTTTATACTGATAACAAGTTCAAACAGGTGCCATTAATACAGGTAACGAGTGGAGGACAGAGGAGCCTCTTAAAGAAGAAGTTACAGGTCTGTGAGAGCCAGAAATCTTGCTTGTTTGTAGGTGACCAAATACTTATTTTCCACCATAATTTGCAAATAAATTCATAAAAAATCCTACAATGTGATTTTCTGGATTTTTTTTACTCATTTTGTCTGTCATAGTTGACGTGTACCTATGATGAAAATTACAGGCCTCTCTCATCTTTTTAAGTGGGAGAACTTGCACAATTGGTGGCTGACTAAATACTTTTTTCCCCCACTGTAAGTGGAACTCTGTCTGAAATACTGTCCTGGTTAGTTATGTAAGTTCATGAATGTTGCATTTTAGTTAATGAAACCCACAGCGCCGGTGGTAACTAACAAAAGGCCTACAAGTTTAAGAGATTACATGTTACCCCAAGAAAGACATTGCGGGTGGTAACTGTAAAAAGTATATACTTTACCCCAGGATACCCATTACGAGCAGTACTATAGAAACAAGGTAGCTTTATTCACGTCAGGGTAATTTAGTGAAACAATGTTGCTATATTTATGTCAGGGGAATTTAGCAAAAAATGTCTATTTGCAACGCACCTTGTTATTGCATTTTTGTGTTCGTGTGTTGCGCTTGCATTCAGTAGCGTCTATGAATCACATGATTATGAAAGCATTCATGTATGAAAGTGTATTTTAAATGTAATTCTGTCCTTGTGATGCACTTGTCTATTAATGTTCTGTATCATGTCTTGTTTTGTGTGTACCCCAGGAAGAGTAGCTGCTGCTTTAGCAGTAGCTAATGGGGATCCTAATAAAATACAAACAAAATACTACTTTAATCAAATGAAATAAATAGAAGAAACAATTTTTAGCAGGCACTAGTTTGCATCAATCAATCAATCAATTTTATTTTATATAGCCCTTCTTACATCAGCTAATATCTCGAAGTGCTGTACAGAAACCCAGCCTAAAACCCCAAACAGCTAGTAATGCAGGTGTAGAAGCACGGGCCTAGCCTGTCTTGAGCATTTGGCCATACTTTAGGTTCTCATTGACATCACAGTAAATGTCCTCATTGTTCATGCACCTGGGGAAAAACCTTTTGGCATGGCGAATCCAAACCTAACATAGGTCTGGATTGATGTCATTGCATTCCTCATCCATGGTCTGAAGGAGGGTGGCACGCTCATGGGGATGTGTTCCTAATGTGTACAAAACATTAGAAACACCTGCTGTTTTCATGACAGACTGACCAGGTGAAGGCTTTGATCCCTTATTTTGATGTCAATTCAATCAGTGTAGAAGGGGAGGAGACAGGATAAATAATGATTTTTAAGCCTTGAGACAATTGAGACATGGATTGTGTGTGTGTGCCATTCAGAGGGTGAATGGGCAAGACAAAATATTTAGATGTCTTTGAACGGGGTATGGTAGTAGGTGCCAGGTGCACCGGTTTGAGTGTGTCAAGAACTGCAACGCTGCTGGGTTTTTCACACAACAGTTTCCTGTGTGTATCAGGAATGGTCTGCCACCCAAAGTACATCCAAGCCAACTTGTACACAACTGTGGGAAGCATTGGAGTCAACATGGGCCAGCATCCTTGTGGAATGCTTTTGACACCTTGTAGTCCATGCCCTGACAAATTGAGGCTGTTCTGAGTGCAAAAGGGGGTGCAACTCAATATTAGGAAGGTGCTCCTAATGTTTTGCACACTCAGTGTAAATGTATACTTTACAAACATACCTTTTCATTATGTATTGCACCAAAGCAACTGAAAAAAAAAACGGTAATAAAAAATTGCATAGTGCCATAACATTGGATATTGTAAATGTCCAGTATTAGCAGAAATGTAGGACTTTTACTCATCAGTGTTACACCTCCAGGAACTGTGCATTTCCTTCAGTCAGCTCTCCATCCATTGTCCTTCTGCTCCAAAAGAGAAGAAGCACACAGGTAATTCCCGTCCCCCCATTTCTGCATGCATGTACTCACAATTCTATGGTTAAGTGAGTACGTTATGTCAGTGCAGTTATCGTTACCCAGGCATTACGTTTTTTCCATCTCGTTTCCATCTAGAAATGTTAACTTCTCCAGTAACCGGTGACACTAAGAATGTCATTGAATATTCAGAGGATGAAGCGACAAAGAATTTCAAAGGCAGTATAAGTAGAGCCTCGGGAAGCCACTTTTATTTATTATTAACCTTGCTTGCCCTCATGTGCATCTATATTTCCTGAAACCCCTGCAGTCTAATGTACTCTGTCTCCCCCAGTTGTTTGTGAATACCTACTACATGGCCAAGCACGACACCTAAGTGCCCAACCCTCAGGGAGTTCTTTAAGCCCGGCCTGGCCTGACGCCACCTGCTGTCTCCCGGCAACGGACACATGACTCAATAATTCACTGGTCTATGGCAAAATCATTTCTAACCTGGTCCCAGATCTGTCATGCCAACTCCTATGGCCTGTTTGTGCCAGGCATGTTAAAATCATTTCACCATCCACGGGAAGGAAATATTTAATAGTGACTGACTTTCAGAGTTTTAGGATTCTTTGTATCTGAGTCACTTTGGAATAAGCTTTTCTTTTTTTCTCAGTGACTTTTATTGTGAAGTCAGGATAATTGACCAATGTCACCAATACTTTACTACCTGTGCTGTAATTGTAAGTTCAATGGTCCAACAATTATTTTTTTGGGGGGGGTTTATAGGAATATCTTCACACATTGATGGCTTTGATAACTATGAGGCAACAACTTGCACAAATTGGTTGAGAAAAGAGTTTTGCTAATTCATTTGGTTATAATTATTATAGATAGAGTTCTATTGTCATTTTCTTTCAGCTCACTATCATTAGATATTGATGCCTGGTTGTGATAACCGAGGCAACAACTTGCACAAATTTGTTGGAGGAAAGCGTTTTGTTTTTCAATTATTTTAAGTATTTGTCAAATAATGTGCACTTTACCACTGTAAATGAGTGGTATTTCAATGTGTACTTTTTGTATCTTATTATGGGCATCCAACCTCAATGTTTTAAAGCTGTAATAACAGATGCAGGACCTTCAAAAAGTGAATAACGAATCAAAGTAAAATGAATGCATATGCCAAATAATATTGTTATTTTTCACACGTCCAATGTCTTTTACAGGGTAAAGAACTACAATTCATTGTGTACCGTAAAATAAATGTTGTATTCAAAACTTATTTTGGCTTCTCTGGGTTTCACTACTTCCCATATCTATATTTATGAAGTACAACACTCAAACATGTATGACAGTGTTATTAACTCCTGTTTATTAAGGCAATGCAGTTCTACTTTCAAATGGCTTGAGATGGTGGGACGGAGCTAAAACAGACGTTTGGACCCTGCTTGTGAGCTCAGAAATGCTTACAGTGTGCTGTGACAGTCTTTAAAGTGTAGTAAAAAACATGGTGTTAATTTGTTAATAACTCACGAGGTATTGAGCCCACTTAAAAAGATACCAAGAAAGTCAGTAATAATCTCAGCAGTGGTGTCAACACTGTCCACTTCCTGCCTTAGTGTCCTCAGGTCACTACAGTCTTAGAGGATTCCATTCCTCTGCAATGTAGAGTAAATCTACCTGTCTTACAGTCCATTCTTATAGTACAAGCATTATGTTTCCTTTGAGTGTCACAGTCAGTCAGCGTGGCCAGATTCTATTGACACTTTCCAGCCCGACTAGTCTCACAACCTGCAGCTCATCCCTCCAGTCACAGTGATGGTCTCTCCAGTGATGTAGGATGCGTCCTTAGAGCACAGGAAGGCGATCACTCCACCTATCTCCTCTGGCTCCCCAACCCTGGGAGAATAGTACACAAATAACAAATCAAACAGGCCACCATGGTGAACATGCATAAAGATGGCCAAATACAGATATGACGTCAACAACACTGCAACATTTCTCTCACTGTTACACAAGCAAATTCTACCAATTCAGTCACAATGGGTCAGACACATTTGTGGACACACTGCATAAAAACAATAACACTCAAGGGTAAGAATGTACCCTAAACTAAACGATGTACCCTAAGAATGAAGTTGAAGGCAACCTTTTAATGCTAAGCTGCTTCTTGAACTCGTCCACAATGTCTTCGTCCTGCCACAACTGAGAGAGAATAAGAACACAGCATAATCAAAAACTCCCTTCTCTCCGTATGAATGATAGACGTAAAAGATAGGAAAACAACGGTTAAAAGAGTGATTGAAATAGAAGAGTGGGGGTGAGGAGGGTAAGCAAAGATTAAAAGAGTAAACCGGTAAAGATGACAGAATAGAAAGGGAGGGGATCCTCACTGCTTGGCTGAAGCGGGTCTTGATGACGCCGGGGGCCACACAGTTGACCCGGATGTGGCTCTGGGCCAGTTCGGGGGCCAGGGCTCTGGTTAGTCCTAACAGGGCCGTCTTACTCACACTGTAAGGACCCAGGGCCTGGTGGTGGTGGGGGGGTCAAAGGTCATGTTGAACAAATAATTATTCATACCAATGCAAATTGATCTAATGTAATAGCACACACAAAAACTAATTCTGAGATGATCGACACGATAGCCATTCAGAGGGAAAATCAGAGGAGCTTACCTGCATAGGCTGGTAGCCGGCGACAGAGGACACGAACACAACACTCCCACCCCTGGAAAACACATACATTGTAATTTGTATAGTTCACAAAACACTTTCCTAATTCATTATTTATATCCCCTCTCTCTCTCTCTCTTTCTCTCTTTCTCACCCCCTCTTCTCCATGTGAGGCACCACCAGTTGGGTCATAAGAAAGGCTGCCTTAACATTCACATCCAGGATCTGTGTGAAGAGTGGAGTTGAAAAGTACAGCATAAGAGCATGTGAACAACAAAGCATCTATGTTAAACCAACCAATGAATACTTAAGCATCTATGTTAAACCAACCAATGAATACTTAAGCATCTATGTTAAATCAACCACTGAATACTTATTATCACACAATCATTACACAACTTACTGAATACCGGTACTTGAAATAACTTGTTAAATTGAAATCGAAGGGAAATTTGGTACTGTTAGCCATGTAACACTTTTGTTACATATTTTCATTGCATCAAGGCTTCAGTATATGGGACAGATTATAGGTCCAGTTGCTTTTCAAAACATTTGTAAGATGCTTGGACACATAACGAACCTTATCCCAGACTGCTTCTGTGGAGTCCATGATGTTCCCAAAGAAAGGGTTGACTGCTGCGTTTGAGACCAGGATGTCAATACCACCACAATGTTCCACTGTCTAAACAGAATGGGAAAAAATAACAATGACATTCAGTATGGGCATGTGACTGATGGCTGTGCCTTTGACTCTGTGTCAAGAAGTGGAAACTACAGTATCAGTGCTGTACTGGAATGTCACTGTGGTGAAGATGAGTGTGATGGTGGTCACATCATTTGAATGAATAGAATTTGAATACGAAATTGTCACGTTCTGATCCCCTTTTAACAGGCCAAGACAGAATGATCAACTGATGTCTACTCTGGGTGCACCTGCTAGCAAAATGTATTGGCTTTTTCTTTACCATGTTAACCAGTCTTTCTCTGTCTTCACTTTTCCCAACGTTGCAAGTCGTCCCAGTCACTTGTATCTTCTCACTCTGCAATAGTTCCACGGCTTTGTCCACGTTGGACTGACGTCTGCTGCTCACCACAACGTGAGCCCCTCTCTGCCCCAGAGCCTGAGCTGCAGCCAGACCAATTCTGGAAGAGAAGAAGAAGAAGAAGAAGAAGAAGACAGTCTGTAGGAGAAGGAGGCATGTATGTTGTGCATGATGTAAGGCCCAGAGTTTTCTCTGACTGTGTGGCCTGAGCAGGAAAAACTCTGGCCCCTGTTCTCTAGACACTTAAAAAATATATATATTTTTATTTAACTAGGCAAGTCAGGTAAGAACAAATTCTTATTTACAATGACGGCCTACCCCGGCCAAACCCCCCCCCTAACCCGGACTACGCTGGGCCAATTATGCGCCGCCCTATAGGACTCCCGATATGCTAACTAAGTGCCCAGAGTTTTTCCAGGTGAGGCCAAGCGGTCACGAAAAACTCACCATAGGACCAGAGCCTGAGGGCAATTCACTATAAACAAATGAAATACATCCCCAGCAAACGGTTGGCACAGCCATTCCTTACCCATCGGTGGAGGCAGTCACTATGGCAACCTTCCCTGAAAGACTGCTTTGAGACCCAGCAAGACTGCCCCCAGACATCTTTCTTGTTTGACCTGCGACAGGATTTGTCAAAAAGCATCTGCTAACAAAACACCTCAGCATTACCTGGAAAGAGAGAAGATTTATCAATGCACACACATACAGTAGGCACACAAATGCAGGGTGCCAACCCACAACTGAACCTTTCAAAACATTATGCCTTAGTTACTAGGTCCCTTAGTTATTGCATTGCTTTATCCATGATGTCTTTATATGCTTCCTTACTGTGGCTATCAGTGTCTAGAAACCACCATAGCATACAGGCTTTCTAATCAGACCCTTTACACTTAACAAGTGAATGGAGAAATGCCTACTTGCTAAAGTTATGTCTGCTACTATATACTACTACTAGCTACCATACTAAGACCGGTACTATATACTACTAGCTAAGATACTAAGACTGCTACTATATACTATCTCTGTACCCCACACAATAGACGAGCTTGCTTATGAAGAGCAGAAATTAGGTGAAAGTTGAATTGTGCAAGCATACAAGTAGTACAGTGTTATGTTGAATACAAAATACAGTGATATTCCCTTACCTTTGCCCTTCTGATCATTAACGCTACATGCAACACCAATAATCAAGGTTTGGCGTAACGTTGGTTTACAAAATGTAAGTGCAAAGTCCTTTACGTCCAGTGACAGAAGACAGGAACAAAAACACGAGTTTAAAGACGTTTCCGGTACCTTTCCAAAATAAAAGAAATATCCTGGGTGTACTGCTTTATTTACAAATGCCTCCATTGAATTTGCGCCTGTACTGCCGTCTATACGGTAGCCTATGCTCCATTCACACAGAATCCAAAAACCCGCAGCATGGCGCAGCAAAGCAAATAGCATATAACAACTTCTTGCTTTGCCATCTACTAACATTAAACGTACTTAGTTGGTTACAGCATCTCTCCTTGCCAGGTGAAAATGGCCCAGACTCAACTCTCTGTGTGTGTGAAAGCACCTTACCCAGTCTCCCGAATGAAATGCTGAAGGCGGAGCTGTAATCTTAGGTTTCTCCATCCTCAAAAGCTTGCGCGTTTACCGCAAGACAGTCGTATCCAATTACGTAGTCCTTCTCCGGAGGGAGACATAAGAGAAAAACCTCGTTTGCCACGAATTCCCTCTACTGAAATAAGGGAACGCTCGATAGCTGTCTTTCTTTTCTCGAGTATTACATGAACTGTTTATATTTCATCAAGGGTAAGTACGCTAGCTAACAAAACAATAAGAGAGTGTCATTTGAATGCAGACTGAAGTTTTGCTTGCTAGCGAACTGATTTAATGCCCCCTTTTGTTTTGCCCATTGGGCTATAAGCTAGCCAAGCTAGCTAGCAGTTTACGTTACAGTAGAAAGCTAGCCTCTGCTCCATCGATTTAGATACGTGGATAATGTGGGCCAAATTGTGAGCTAACAAAATATTGAATATGTATTCACTTTTATTTGATCAGCGATAGGGTGAGCTGCTTGCTAACTTTAGGGGGCTAGCTAACGTTTGTTAGCAAATATTTATGTCATCTGAGTCAATCCATGCCATGGTCAAACATTTCGTCCTGACTAACTGATCCCACTGCCTGGTAACTTGATACACAACCTCGGAGTTTTATGCTGTAAATTAAGTTTTTACAGAATAATAATTGCTGTCATTATTTGATTTGCATTATTCTAATAACGCTTGCTACATAGTTTGAATGCTTACATTTTAACTGTAAATCTGTCATTGGGGTAACGTTTTCAGATGCTTGTTTTCAAGAGTGTCCAAAGGAAAATACAAAAACAACAACACTTAGTGACAAGAATAATATGCCAACTACTGGCTAATAATAATGAAATAATTATATATATATATATATATTTTTTTTTTTTTTAAGTACATTAACAGCATAGACCGTTGTTGTACAATTACTAATAGGCCTACAACTAATAAAAACTACTGCTACAACTACTACTAAAACGAAATACCTATAATATATACAGTACATACATATTTACAAATATCTTCACATGGTGATGTTTCTATTAGTCAAAAACGCAGTTCGTTCTTTACATTTGACAAAAGGGCTTTCTTAAATACACTGTGTGATTTTAATGACCTGCTTTCTATAGGTAAATTATTCCAGTCAGTTGGGCCTTTTTATCTGAAAGATCTTACTCCAACCTCATGATGTACCCTTGGAATTTGTAATTGCTGATGTTGTCGAAAGGAGTAGTGTGAGTCTTATAAATCATGGGTGTGTGACCACAACATGGGACATGGTAAAAATACTGAAGTTATGAATTGGCTATAGATAAGTGATAGACATTGACATAATCTAAGAATCTAGACTTGTATGTTGTTTACAAAGTGACAGAACAACACTAACGATTTTATCATCATTTCCCTGACTAGGATTCTCCTTCAGTGTAATATGATGATGACATCACAATCTGGCCGAACTGGCTTTTCTAAGTTTCATCTCAAGAACAGTCAACAACACTGAGCCAAGAAGAAGCAGTTCAATCATGCCCTCAACACAGAACAACCCTATGGGCTTTGGTGAGCGAAGAAGGCAGGACATCTCGCAGCCTTGAATGAGGCTGGTGGTGTTGCCCTTGAACACAACTCAGATCGTGTGTTTGGACTCCGCAGCAATCCACAGTTCACCTCTTGGTTATAGATGGAGGACCCTGTCTGTTTGTGAGCCTGACCCAACATTCTGACAGGAGCACTGTCTGAGGAAGAGCAAACATGTCCCTCTCTGTGAGTACCAATCGTGTGTGTGTTTGCCTGTGAGTGTGTGTGTATGTGCATGTCTGTGTGACGTGGGTGGGTGTGAGTGTGCGTGCGCACACTTTTTGTATGAGAGATGGTGGGTAAAGCGGGCACTGATGAAAGGAGCCCAACTGGTGACATGGCACTATACAGTGGGGGGAAAAAAGTATTTAGTCAGCCACCAATTGTGCAAGTTCTCCCACTTAAAAAGATGAGAGAGGCCTGTAATGTTCATCATAGGTACACGTCAACTATGACAGACAAAATGAGATTTTTTTTCTCCAGAAAATCACATTGTAGGATTTTTAATGAATTTATTTGCAAATTATGGTGGAAAATAAGTATTTGGTCACCTACAAACAAGCAAGATTTCTCACAGACCTGTAACTTCTTCTTTAAGAGGCTCCTCTGTCCTCCACTCGTTACCTGTATTAATGGCACCTGTTTGGACTTGTTATCAGTATAAAAGACACCTGTCCACAACCTCAAACAGTCACACTCCAAACTCCACTATGGCCAAGACCAAAGAGCTGTCAAAGGACACCAGAAACAAAATTGTAGACCTGCACCAGGCTGGGAAGACTGAATCTGCAATAGGTAAGCAGCTTGGTTTGAAGAAATCAACTGTGGGAGCAATTATTAGGAAATGGAAGACATACAAGACCACTCATAATCTCCCTCGATCTGGGGCTCCACGCAAGATCTCACCCCGTGGGGTCAAAATGATCACAAGAACGGTGAGCAAAAATCCCAGAACCACACGGGGGGACCTAGTGAATGACCTGCAGAGAGCTGGGACCAAAGTAACAAAGCCTACCATCAGTAACACACTACGCCGCCAGGGACTCAAATCCTGCAGTGCCAGACGTGTCCCCCTGCTTAAGCCAGTACATGTCCAGGCCCGTCTGAAGTTTGCTAGAGTGCATTTGGATGATCCAGAAGAGGATTGGGAGAATGTCATATGGTCAGATGAAACCAAAATAGAACTTTTTGGTAAAAACTCAACTCGTCGTGTTTGGAGGACAAAGAATGCTGAGTTGCATCCAAAGAACACCATACCTACTGTGAAGCATGGGGGTGGAAACATCATGCTTTGGGGCTGTTTTTCTGCAAAGGGACCAGGACGACTGATCCGTGTAAAGGAAAGAATGAATGGGGCCATGTATCGTGAGATTTTGAGTGAAAACCTCCTTCCATCAGCAAGGGCATTGAAGATGAAACGTGGCTGGGTCTTTCAGCATGACAATGATCCCAAACACACCGCCCGGGCAACGAAGGAGTGGCTTCGTAAGAAGCATTTCAAGGTCCTGGAGTGGCCTAGCCAGTCTCCAGATCTCAACCCCATAGAAAATCTTTGGAGGGAGTTGAAAGTCCGTGTTGCCCAGCGACAGCCCCAAAACATCACTGCTCTAGAGGAGATCTGCATGGAGGAATAGGCCAAAATACCAGCAACAGTGTGTGAAAACCTTGTGAAGACTTACAGAAAACGTTTGACCTGTGTCATTGCCAACAAAGGGTATATAACAAAGTATTGAGAAACTTTTGTTATTGACCAAATACATTTTTTCCACCATAATTTGCAAATAAATTCATAAAAAATCCTACAATGTGATTTTCTGGATTTCTTTTCTCATTTTGTCTGTCATAGTTGACGTGTACCTATGATGAAAATTACAGGGCCTCTCATCTTTTTAAGTGGGAGAACTTGCACAATTGGTGGCTGACTAATTTTCCCCACTGTAGTTATTTTTCAAACCAGGGTTGTGTTTGAATACTTCAAAAATGCATCATCCTTCTTTGGGAGAATCACTGATATGACATAACTGGATCGGTGAAAGGCCATTGGCTGAAGTGAACCTTTTTGTTGTCCCTATCCAATACTCTCAAATCAGTGATTACATCATTCAGGGAAGGCAGGGAATGAAGGATGTGGTTTTTAAGTAATTTAACATTGCCCTGGCTTCCATCCACTTGCGCTGCTGTTTCCAGCAGTTACGTTTCCGAGTAGAGCTCCTAGCTCTGGGTGGTGTTCAGTAGTGCAAACCGTAGCAAAACATTTTGCAACTGAAAACAAAACATTGTGTTCTAATAGGACAAGATCGGACACGTAATTTTTTTTGGGAAGATATTTCCTTCCTACTGAACGCAGCCCAGGGCTCAGCTTGTTGTCTCTATAGCCAATCCCCAGGGGGTTAGGGTTTTGAAAAGGAGAAGAAGAGAGGAGGGCCAAGGGACGGCAATTAAACCCCAAACTAGGGACAGATGTTGCCCCCCTTACCCCTTCCCTCTCTCGCTCCCTCCATCCCTCTTTTTTCTCATTACCATTTACTCCTCTTGTCTTTTAAATCATTCCTCCCTCCTCTGACTGTCTTTCTACTCACCCTATAATTACTGTGTGCAGTAACTAAGTATACAGTGATTCAGCACTTATATCAGTATGATGGGACTTTGAATGCTCTGAATGTTCTCTCTCAATTCAATTTAAGGGCTTTATTGGCTTGGGAAACGTATGTTAACATTGCCAAAGCAAGTGAAGTAGATAGTAAACAAAAGTGAAATAAACAATAAATATTAACAGCACTCTCTCTCTCTCTCAGCACCACACTGTCTTTGTTTTTCTCCTCCTTCCTCATCTTTAGCTCTTCTATTCACTTACACTGTTATACAATCAGCTATTCTCAATCTCTTTCTTGGCGTCAAGTCAATGCATTTGTCTGTGTGCAGTCCGGTCAGTATGTAGATGTATGCTTCCCAGTGTGATGTTAGACTGTCTCTGTGTGTGCATTCGTGTCATCAATGCCCCCGATGACTAGTGCCCAAAGTTTTTCCTGACCACGTGACTTAACTAGGAAAAACTCTGGATTAACGCTGCGATAGTAATGGGTGTTTGTGAATCTCTTATTTCTGAGTAATTACTGTGTCGTAAATTATTTCTGTGTTGTATATTTTTCCTGTCCATGTCCCCCCCCACCCTTCCCCCTCAGACGGTGCTGGCGAAGGCCCTGTTTGACAATACAGCAGAGAGCCCTGAGGAGCTGGCCTTCCGGAAGGGGGACATCCTGATGGTTCTAGAACAGGAACAGGGAGGGGGTCCTGGCTGGTGGCTCTGCTCCCTCCACGGGCGCCAGGGCATTGCACCCGCCAACCGCCTCCGCCTCCTCCACACTGCCCTGGGGTCGGACCCCCGACCCCCCAGCGAAGACTCTGTGTACCTCTCCCCTGGCCCCCTGGCCCGCACGGCAGTCTCCACGGAGGACGTAGACGGGGTCTACCGCACCCCACCTAGGCTGGGGGAGGCCCTGTACCAGAGCCCAGGGGCGGTGCCTGTCGCCTCTAGACCAGGGGTGCTCCGGCAGGCCGAGGTAGGGGGTCGCCCCCGTTCCCGCTCCAGCTCTGGCACACGCCCCCTACCCGATTGGGACGTGGGGGTGACAGGGCGCCCGCGCTCGCCCTCCCTCCGAGGCAGAGATACAGACTCAGCCGGGACTCTTGGGCCCCACTACCACAGAGCACCAGGGGGTCTGGCTGGAGCCCCTGGCCCAGAGAATGTCTACCTGGCCCCCAGTGGGATGCCCCGGGCGGTGGGTCTAGCTCCAGAGAGGCCAGAGGACAACACCTACCTGGTCCCCAGGGAGACCGTAGCGGCCGTAGGCCACTCTGATGGCTGTTACCTTGTCCCCAAAGGTACTGTACTGCCCAGCGAGGAGGTCTACCAGACCCCCACAGGAGGGGCAGCAGGGGTGGCCGTGGTGACCCAGGTCACCCCCATCGCTACCAGGATCCTGGAGGCTCAGAGCCTCACCCCTTCACAGGTTAATGGGGGTGGAGGGGCCCCCCTCAAGCCCCTCACCCCTCAATCCAAACTGGCACAGGACACCCCTGGAATGATGTACCAGACCCCCACCGCTGTGGGAGCAGGGATTCTCAGGACTCCACCCGTCCCTGCACTGGGATCCCCCAAACCTCAGCTGAAAGGCGTGACCCCCAAAACCCCAGGGACCCCCAGAGGTCAGGGGGGTGTACCCTCCACCCCTCCCATCGCCAGGGGGAAGCTAGCTCCGGCTACCCCCCTCAGGGGGTCTCCATTGCTGGCCAGACCAGGACAGGGACAAGGCAGAGTGCCCAGGTCACCAAACTTTGCCCGTAAGCCCCCTCCTCCAGCCCCTCCAGTGAGGGGGGTCACCAGAAAAGAGTTGCCCCAGTCTGGAGCCCCTGTATCCACCTCTAAGCCTGCCCTCTCCACTCCCCAGTCCACTCCTGTACCCTTGCAGCAGAAGAGCAAAGATGGAAGGATGACGTCGGATGAAAAGAAGAAGAATGGGCAGAATAAGAAAGGAGAGGACAGAGCGTATGCAGATCCTGATGACGAGAACCTCAATGAACAGGTGAGCGAGAAAGACAATCTCTTGTCATGATTAGGTCCCAGAGTTTTCCCCCGTCAAGTCATGTAGTCAGGAAAAACTCCAACCCTAGTTAACCAATGTGAACTATATAGCTGACATTGTGACCTTGTGCTTATAACCTGCTGTCTTGTGCCTGGTCTACTAGGTGTATGATACTCCTCCCAGCAGTAGGTGGCAGCGGCCAGCCCCAGCAGCGTTGTGTGACGATGAGAACATCTACAACACCCCCCGCTCCCTCCCCCCACACACTGACCTAGAGTCAGAGGTCAGTCAGGATTCTTCCTCTACAGTGCAGACACCATCTCTCTCCTCCTCTCACTCCCTCTCTTTTTTCTCCCTCCTCTCTCTAACTCCATGTTTCTCTCTCTCCCTCTCCTCCCTTTCCCCCCTCAGCTCGCAACCTTCCCTCACCTGTTCTTCCCTCCCTCACTCACCCACTCTTTCTCTCACTCCCCCTCTTTCTCTCTAGGCTCAACTTTCCTTCACCTGTTCCTTCCCCCCCCCCCCCCCCCCCCCCCTCCCTCTCTCTGTCGGTCTTTCTCTCTCTGCCACACCTGTTTCTCTGTCGGCTGCACCCAGTCTGTCTGCTCTGAATACTGCTGTTGCTATTTTCTCCCAGTCACACCCAGCTGTCTATACCGCAGTGGGAATGTAATGGCCAGGCTATACAGTCTCCTCCTAGTTTCTCCTCCCCCTCTGTTCTTCTAGAAAGTACATGCAAAACAAATAGTACTACTGAATAGGAGCTTAGAATGACTTGAAGAACAATAACGGTAATAATAGACTTGCTATGCGCAATTGACCCACATTGTCCTGTGCAATGATCTTGGTGCACTTTACAGTGGTGCTTTAGACATTATTTCGTCTAACTGAGCAATTGGTGTCTGGGCCAGGGGGCAAAACAGAAAGCAATATCCAAGAGGAAAGTAAATATTTATTTTCTTTCTCCATTTCTCTCTCTCTCCCTCCCTCCCTCCCTTTGTCTTTATCTCCATTACTCTCTTTCAGGTGTACAATGTTCCCACCATAATACTCAACACGTCATCAGAGGAGGACGTTTACAGCATTCCCACACTTCCTGGCCTACACCTGGCCCCGGGGGACATGTCCACCATCATCCCTCTGGAGGAGACTGAGCATGGCCAGGTCTACTCTTTCCCCGGCCCAGGGAAGAGAGCTCCGCTGGGGCTGGGTGAGGGCAGCGACCCGGGCTCCACCTCCGAGTCGGACTGTGGCATCTACAACATGCCTGCTCTCACCCTGGACGTCCTGCCCTCTTCGGCGATGTCGACGTCATCTTCCACACATAGGTTGTCTGTATCCAGTAATGGGTCTGGTGACGTCCAATGGAGAACCTCGCTTTCCAGCCTCGTCCAATCGGTGCTGAGCTCTGCCTCGGGTACACCTGCCTCCTCAAGGGACCTGGCCACCTCATTGGCTGAGATCCTGTCCATCTGGAAGTTGAGTCAACCCAGCGAGGTCCCTCCCCCTCTCCAACAGGCTTGGGCCCGCCTCTCAGACTTACTTCCTGCTTTGTCCGCCGGTGGCCACGCCCCACCGTCAGACACCCTGCTCTCTATGGTCCAACGGGCGCTGGAGGACTCCACCATCCTGTTACAGACCCAGGGGCGGCCCCGCCTCCCTTCCCAGGATTCCCTCTCCCGGAGACCCCTACCAGCCCTTCCGGTAGCTGAGGTCAAACCCATAGGGAGTGGTATGGGACCACGCAAGAGTAGCTGGATCCAGGAGAGACCTTTACCCCCGACCCCGCAGCCAGCATTCCCCCTGTCCCCCGCACAACCCTCCATGACCATGTCCATTACGGTAGGGCATAGCGATGGAGAGGAGGAGATGGGGAACGAGTACGCAGGGATAGGTCTGACTCCCGCCCCGGCACCACTTCCTGTGGGAGACAGTGTGGGATACGTGAAACTGCAGGTCAGTCTTCAGTCTGCTTGTTACGATGGCTTTTGTTTCTCTCTCACCTCTCCCTTGCTGGCACATATTTTACATTGTGTTTTAGGGGGATTTCAGGATTTTACAACTCAAGGTTAGATAGATCCTCACACTGAAAGCATTCTATGGGCCAGCAGAAACTGTAATCCATGGTTCGGTTTTCTTTAAACAGCCACTACAAACTGTACAAACCCTTCCCCTTTAAGCAGACGCCTTTATTCAGAGTGACTTATAATAATAAGTGCTCCTGTTGTATGTTTGCCTCTTCTTCCAGTTATTTTATTGGACAGTATCTGCTCTGTGGGGCCATAGCTGTGTCTAAAGTGTTGTATCTACATTATATATACAAAAGTATGTGGACACCCCTTCAAATTAGTGGATTCTGCCATTTCAGCCACACCCGTTGCTGACAGGTGTATAAAATCGAGCACACCGCCATGCGATCTCCATAGACATACATTGACAGTAGAATGGCCTTACTAAAGAGCTTAGTGACTTTCAACGTGGCACCGTCATAGGATGCCACCTTTCCAACAAGTCAGTTTGTCAAATGTATGCCCTGCTAGAGCTGCCCCGGTCAACTGTAAGTGCTGTTATTGTGAAGTGGAATTGTCTAGGAGCAACAGCGGCTCAGTCGCGAAGTGGAAGGCCACACAAACTCACAAAACGGGACCGCCGAGTGCTGAAGCGCATAGCAACACTCACTACCGTGTTCCAAACTGCCTCTGGAAGCAACGTCAGCACAATAACTGTTCGTCGGGAGCTTCATGAAATGGGTTTCCATGGCCGAGCAGCCGCACACAAGCCTAAGATCATCATGCGCAATGCCAAGCGTCAGCTGGAGTGGTGGAAAGCTTGCCACCATTGGACTCTGGAGCAGTGGAAACACGTTCTCTGGAGTGATGAATCACGCTTCACAATCTGGCAGTCCAACGGACAAATTTGGGTTTGGCGGATGCCAGGAGAACGCTACCTGCCCCAATGCATAGTGCCAACTGTAAAGTTTGGTGGAGGAGAAATAATGGTCTGGGGCTGTTTTCATGGTTCGGGCTAGGCCCCTTAGTTCCAGTGAAGGGAAATCTTAACACTACAGCATACAATGACATTCTAGACGATTCTGTGCTTCCAACTTTGTATCAACAGTTTGGGGAAGGCCCTTTCCTGTTTCAGCATGACAATGCCCCCGTGCACAAATCGAGATCAATACAGAAATGGTTTGTCGAGATCAGTGTGGAAGAACTTGACTGGCCTGAACAGAGCCCTTACCTCAACCCCATCAAACACATTTCTCTGGAGTGGAACGGCGACTGGGAGCCAGGCCTAATCGCCCAACATCCGTGCCTGACCTTACTAATGCTCTGGTGGCTGAATGGAATCAAGTCCCTGCAGCAATGTTCCAACATCTAGTGGAAAGCCTTCCCAGAAGAGTGGAGGCTGTTATAGCAGCAAAGGGGGGACCAACTCCATATTAATGCCCATGATTTTGGAATGAGATGTTCGACGAGCAGGTGTCCACATACTTTTGGTGATGTAGTGTATGTTCACCTTTCCTCCGCAGGGAAAGCCAGAGCCACCCTCAGATGCCCAGACAGAGAATGGGTCAAACCAGACTGTCCACACCACAGAGCCTAGGGTAAATAACACGCACACACTCATTCTCACATCTTACGCTCCCAATTGTCACACACATGCTTGTCATTCTCACACACTTTGTTTTTACACCAGTCACCACGCACATACACACACTCTCATCCTCACATTTTCACACCACATACACACACTCTCACATCTTCACACCACATACACAAACTATGGCCTCAGCTTAATGATTGATTCCCTCTGTGTATTTACTGATGAGCTTTCTCTGTCCTTCAGTCCAGTGAGTCAACATTGATCTACCTTACTGTAGGTTACATTGACAGTAAATCTGCTCTCTGTACTTTATCCAGTTTCAACCTGCCTGGATCAACTCAACTTGTTTACCATAACAGTATCTCTATCTTCATCTCAATGTCTCTTTTGCTTCTCTCTCTATCTTTTCCCTCTATCTTTCTCTAAATTTTTCTCCCAGAGTCTGCATTTTTGTAGGCTTAGGTTGCGTCAACTTGTGTCATAGCCACACAACAAGAGGTCATCTGTGATTCTAAGTATTTGACATAATAGACAATGGGGGCCCATGGCACAATACATGGCAGTTCCATAAGAGACAATGTTCATCCCCGCCATTACAATGGTGGCCCTATCTCACTGCATCTCTCTCTCTCTCTCTCCCCACTATGTCTCTCGCTCTCCCCATTTCTAACTCTCTCTGTCTCTCTCTCTCCAGTTGAGCCCCTCCCCTCCTCTGCCCATCTCTCTCTCTCTGGAGGACTCTGAGCTGCTGTCCTTCTATTCGTCTCAGAGCCTGTCCCACCTCTCCTGTCTGGCCGACTCCATCGACGTGCTCTTCAACAGTGTGCAGGGGAACCAGCCGCCCCGCGTCTTTGTTTCCCGGGGGAAGAGTTTGATCGTGACGGCGCACAAGCTGGTGTTCATCGGGGACACGCTCTCCCGCCTCCTGACCTCTCCTGACCTCAGGGCAAAGGTCAGCACACATTTCATGCCAAAATGACACGGTCGTGACTTGTGTTCAAAAGGGCACACTGTAGCAAAACAGAAAAATCAAATGTATGTTTCTCATAGGGCAAGTTTAGGTAGTCTAGTCCCTACCTGTTGCAGTCTGTTTTCTTCCATTCTATGCCTAATGAACACAACCCTGTATTTCATTCCAAATGTAGGGTTCGATACGATAGTCAAACATAAAGAACAGCTTGCAGCAGAATTCATTTGAGATTTAGGTCAAGGTGAAAGGGATTAAGGACATTTAGGTAAGATATCTATTTTTGTCTTTCTCTCTCCGTAGGTTACAACCTCAGGTGGGCGTCTGTGTCAGGCCCTGAAGGCTGTCGTTGTGGCGACAAAGGGGGCAGCACAAAACTATCCATCTTTCTCTGCCACCCAGGAAATGGTGGACCGCGTGGCCGAGCTGTCCCAGCATGCCGCAGGATTCTCCAGCCTGCTACAGCGCCTCACAGAGATATCTTGACGATGTTTCTTCAACTTATTTTCTTGAAATGCCTTAGTTCAGGGTTTCCCAAACTTGGTCCTTGGGACCCCAAGGCGTACACGCTTTGGTTTTTGCCCTAGCACTACACAGCTGATTCAAATAATCAACTAATCATCAAGCTTTGATCATTTGAATTAGCTGTGTAGTGTTGGGCAAAAACCAAAACGTGTACGCCTTGGGGTCCCAAGGACCAAGTTTGGGAAACGCTGCCTTAATAGTTGTTTCAATGTGTTATCTTTTTAATTGAACGGTTTGACGTTGGAAGTAAGTGATGTGATTTTCAGTGCGGAAAGAAGAACTGAGATATGTGCCTCACATTTGTTATCGAGTTAGATTTTGTGTGTGTGTTGGTTGGGCTTTGTTTGTTTTTATACTTACTGACTTCTGTGCTGTTAGTATCAACATCCAAGCACAGTTGTCTCGTTGTGTGTCCTGATAACTTATTTGATTGATGGATGTTTGGTTTTGCTCATGTTTGAACCAGGTTTGTGACATTGAGTGTCCCTTGTGGGCTACCGTATTATGGGAGACAGCCTAGTTCTGGTCAGTTGCCATATGTTCCTCCTCCTTTGACATAACCATTTGTTTTCTTATCTTTGCATCCTTATTTATTGTAAGTAACTCTCCATCCCCCTCTCCAAAAATAGCAAGTGAGCCTCACATCCTGTTTGTTGAGATGGAGGAGAACAGGGAGAACTTGATGAAGGTGCAGGTGGTGGGTCTGTATATAAATGCTGTGGCAGCATTACTGTGTGTTTCTGCCTGGTGTTGCATTGGAGATTGTGTAAAACAACACTTTTATTATCCATAGGATGTTGACCATAGGAGCTTGCAAGATGGCACAAACCAACCTGGGACCAGGCTACTCTTTTACCCCTTCAGTTTCCTACCTTGTAGTCTGGAAGAGAGGGATTGGAAAGCGATTCAGATTGGTTTAAAGTAACCTGTTGTTGAAATGGCGCAAGAGCGGGCTCAGTCAGGGATGTTCTTTCCCACGGTTGGGCCATTGAGAGGGAAAAACCTGTATGCCAACTTTTACCTGTCTACACCTGTCTCGCTTTTCATTTCTCACTTTCTTTCCTCTCGATTTCTCACACATTACACCTTTAGTCACACACCACAGTCCCTTGGATGTTGTCAAAAGGACGAGAAAGAAAGGGTTGTCTTTTGTTTTCTCTATGCAGGTAGCTCCCAGACAGACATGCTGGTTTACTGTTGCCTGTGCCTGTCTGTGTTTTTCTATTCAACTCTATTGTCAGTCAGAGCTTGTGAGGCGTCCATAGCAGACATGTGGGTTGCAGACTTGCCAAATGGGGTATTTCTGTAGTGCATGTGTATCTCCATAAAGTTCATCTTTGTCACCATCTCCCTGCTTCAGTCAATGCTTAAATTAATCTTCGGTGCCCAAACATTGCCTCCGGTTTCGCTCCTACCTGTCTAGTTCCCTGTAGCCTCTGATAGGCTAGGTGGAAGTATCACCATATTGCTTCTTGGGCTACTCTTACCCAATCCTCTCAGATCCTAATAAGTGCATAGGGGGCTAGGGGTTGATTGGGGCGCAGGCTTCTAGGTTTTCCTATTGTTGAAAGACACTAATCGCACCCTGCAAAGTCAATGCTGCCACCCTCCCTATTATTGCTGTCTGACTCTATGCATCAGTGGTATGTTGTTGATAGGAGGGTCAAATTAACAAAAATGTATCAGTGCCAAAAAAAGTACTAAGTAGCTTCGCTAAGCTCTGGTGTTTTGCCTTTGAGCTCCACCTAGTGGAAGTAAGCAGTGTTTCTACAGAATGCCTGCCTTCAGTCAAAGCCGGAAGGCCTAATAATAGAAAAGCATCGTCATAATTAATAACATTGTATTTATTGATCTATTTTGTTCAAGTGGCTTTGTGATCTGCATGGCTTTAAGTTGCTTTATTTGTTGTATATGCACACATTTAACCAGGGACGTTTTCACCTCACACCGTGAATTCAATTTTACTACAATAATGTTTCAAAAGAACAAACGGAGAAGAGCAGTTAGTTTGATTAAGCTAGAATTGTATTTTGTCTTTTTTTGTACCAGAATGTATTTTTGAAAGCTTTTCGTTTTGTAATCATGTTTTACACTAAAGTGAATTTGTTGGGATTGACTCCATGGCTAAATAAGGCATATGGATCTATCCAGTCTACACTTCATGTAAGTTGAACACTACAATGATGACGGTCATTATGACTCTGTTCCGTTTTAAAATGCACAAATACATTTTTTACAATTACATTGTTCTGTCTTGATGTGGATTATTTCTGCTAAAAGTATGTAATGGATTTTAAAATGGTTTTTCACATTGTTAGTGAAGCATCTTACTTTTTTAATTGTTCCATGTTTTGTAGTCCTTTTTTCTGACATGATACTGTGCACTGTCTGGAAAGGGCGTCAGACACTCACATGGTTAAGTAAAGTTAAATCATGAGAGTTGTAGGTTAGCACGGTATCGGCTTGTAACTACAGTAGGAAAGTCTCCACCCCCTCCGGAGATTGCCAAACTGTGACGTAGCGACGCCTGTTGGAGCTTCAGCGAAAGGAAAGCAAAATGGCGGATGAAGATGTTACGCTGGATGGTAAACCGCTACAATCCCTACGTGTGGCGGATTTGAAAGCCGCTTTGGAGCATCGACACCTCCCTAAAAGCGGGGCGAAAAATGCGCTCGTTAAGCGACTAAAAGGGGTAAGTTTGGCGCCGGTTATTGCTTCTACGGACAAGCTGGTCAAGTTCAGCAGGAGGCGAGAGTGGATTTATAGGCCGTGTGTCGGTGGTTCGGGAGCGGGAATGCATAATATTAGGCACTCATACGCGTGCGGAGGATTTCAGGTCTGGCAAATGATCCATCGGTATGTTAAAATACGTCGAACCAATTGTAGAACTATATATTGTGTGGTGCAACACTCTTCAAAGTTGATATGTGTTGCACGGACCGAACTGAAGGCCCAACCGGAGTGTGTTTATGCTAGCGAACTAACCAGCAGCAGTCCCTCTCTCGTCGGGCCCGCGCTCTGTGTGAGTGAGAGGAAAAGGGGGCAGGGTGATTGTGTACGCGCCTGCCCATATGCGCCGTTTACAGTAACAGTAGCTCGCTAGCTACGTAGTTAGCTTAGTAAGGCAAACATATTTAGGAGATAATTAACGTGAAGTTGCTTTTATTTTTCTCTTCAATTAGCTAGCTATATTATTACCTAGTTACATTTTCCTTAACAATACCGCCAATGAAAAACATTAGGTTTCCAGCAAGCTAGTGCTGAATATTAATTTGCACACCACCATTAGAAAATTGATTTCCCAATTGCATTATAATTGCCTCATAAGTGTGATAACTTAATTGCACACAATGCTCAGCAATCACAAATAATTGCATAAATTATAACTACCCGTTTTTTAATCAGCCATGCAGTTTACTTTGCGTGTATAATGGTCTATATCCTGTGTGTGAAAATGGGCTATTCTTCCGCATTTCCAATCGAATGCAAGCTGAAGGTTTGCAAAATGTCAGTGGAAGGGCAATCGAAACTGGCTGGCACTCTAACCTCAATGACCGGAGTCGATTTGGATCATTACCCAATGATGCCCCTCCTTCTATGCAACTGACCAACGAACGATTCATTTCGCTTCTACGTTCCGTATTTAGCCTATATGGAATAAAAACGGGTCTGTTCATTAGAAGAGAATCTCCATACAGAGGGCAGGACAGAGAGAGTGTTTCAGAGACCCTGCTCCCGACCACTATGACGACGTTTTGGGCATCACTTGCAGCTGGAGTTGAATGGGAACAAGGGCTTGCTGTCCTGTCTAGGATGCTACATTTGTTGACTGATTTCATCTATGTGCCTGTAATCATTCGGTTAGTTTTGCTACAATGTAAATGTTTAGTACTGTCTATATTGCTATTATTATTATTTTCTCTCCTATGATGATCCCGCCATGCTAATACTGATGCACCAGACTGGCAGTGTGTCTCTCTGGGTGCAAGTGAGTTAAACTCACCTTTGCATACTGACTGGGTCAGTGTGTGCTGAGGAGAATGAACAAATAGCTCTTATTAACCTGCATTTCTTACGTGTTTTAACCGGTATTTTGGTCGCTGTTTCAGGCTCTGATGTTGGAGAATGTAAAGAGGACCTCCACTTCCCACATTGGGCTCCAGCCCAACTCCCAGGTAAGAGCAATACACTACTGGTTGGAGAGTCGACACTAGATGTAGAGACAATGTTATGGAGGTTACCTAATTTAATTGTCAGTCATCTGTGTGTTTCAGACCAGATATGTATTTTTTTACCCTCAAATGAATTCGAAAATATTTCTACCTGTATTGTTAAATGCACAAAGGTGATCATTTTACCCCCCTCCTGATTGTGTGTCTATCGTTTTAGATTGGGGTGAAGATGAGTCCTGTATCATTAAAACGCACATATAGCCTAGTCTTTCCCTTCCGGTTTTCTAATGTTGTGACTATATCCCCTGTGTGTTCAGATTGGGGAGGAGATGAGCCAGAACAGCTTTATAAAGCAGTACCTGGCCCAGCAGCAGGAGCTCCTCCGCCAGAGGCTGGAGAGAGAGGCCCGGGAGGCGGCCGAGGCCGATGGTAAGACACCCACAACCAGGCTTTAATAGCCACACTAGCACACTACTTAGCACGGAATGCTAGTGTCGAGTGGACATTGGACCATAGTCTGTTCCAATATCCACACTGAAGCAATGTTTTGCGCATGCATTGTAAGTAGTATGCTAGTGTGGACATAGAGGCAGACTTGAACTACATCTGAACAATGTACGATGGCCCTATAGCTTAGTGCAGTTAACAACTGTAGAGTGATACCAGTGGCACTATATGAATGGAGGGCAGTTAGCTGAGTGCCATTCACATCTGCATATAAACCGTGGCCTTATAGCTGAGTGCATTTCTCATCTGCATATATGGCTAGTGGGCCCATCTCAGGCCTCTTGCACCATGTAATGGCCCCAAGTCCTTATTGTCTCCGATGATGATCCCGCCATGCTAATACTGATGCACCAGACTGACAGTGTGTCTCTCTGGGTGCAAGTGAGTTAAACTCACCTTCTCATACTGACTGGGTCAGTGTGGGCTGAGGAGAACTGCTAGAAATTAACCACAATACCCACTTTAATATATTTTATTATTTTACCCGAAAGGGTACTAACACAACTTCTGTGTCTTTATTAATTAAATTGAACCTTTATTTAACAAGGCAAGTCAATTAAGAACAAATTCTTATTTACAATGACGGCCTACCAAGAGGCCTCTTGCGTGGATGGGGGCTGGGATTAAAAATAAAAATGTAGGACAAAACACACATTACGACAAGAGACACCACAACACTACATAAAGAGAGACCTAAGACAACACAGCATAGCAGCAACAACACGGTAGCAACACAACATGGCAGCAGCACAACATGGTACAAACATTGTTAGGCACAGACAACAGCACAAAGGTAGAGACAGCAGTACGTCACACGAAGCAGCCACAAGTGTCAGTAAGAGTGTCCATGATTGAGTCTTTGAATGTAGAGATGGAGATAAAACTGTCCAGTTTAAATTATTTGTATATACCAGGTTATTTCAGGTATGTTGAATGAGCTGTCTTTCTTGTTCTCTCCAATTGAGTTGTAGTGCAGAGTCTGAGTTCCAACCTCTGACCTCTAACCTCTGTTTCTCCTCAGCAGGGGAAACAGGCCCTGAGGAGGAGGAGGAGGAGGATGAGGAGGAGGAGGAGCACACAGAGCAGGGCAACGACAGCGCTTCCTACCACCCTGACAAGGTCAGTAACACACACACACTCACACACACAGAGAAGCAGAAGATGCTCAAAAGCCAATCACATTCGAACGGTCCAAGATATATTTATTCTCCTATAAGTTCTGTTCTTTTTCATGTGTTCATATCAGCCTAGCTAACAGTCTCAATTTCTCTCTCTCTTTCCCCCAACCTCACCTCTCACACCCCAGCATCGCCCCATGCCCTCCCAGCCCCCACTGACCCGGGCAGAGGAAGAGGGAGGAGGTGAAGGAGGGCCAATGATGATGGGAATGATGTCCCAGGTTATGGGCAAAGGGATGATGACTCGCAGACCACACTTTGGCCCAGGCTCCGTGCCCCAGGAGTCCCCTGACGCCCCTGGAGGTCCTGGATCCTGGATGCAGCAGCGTCCCTCCCTCCGCCACGAGGAGCCCACCACCCCCTCCCCTCCCCGCGCTGTGGCCTCCCTGTCCGTGCGTGTCCTGGGGGACCCCGAGCGCCAGGGCCTGCCACCCTCCATGCCCCCCCGCGCCCAGGCCCAGGAGAAGGAAGGCACTGCCCCGGCGGATGACGACCGACCCGCCCACTATGTGCTCCACCTCAGCCGCTCTGCCCGGGCAGCAGCCGGCGCCGGGGGTAACCGCGTCCAGGAAGACAGCGATGAAGATGATGACAGCAGTGAGGAGGATGAAGATGAGTGGGGACCTGCAGCGGGGGCAAGGAGAGGGGTCGGTGGCGGAGGAAGAGGAGGAGGACGTTCCCCTCCCCCCCAGCCCCAGGAGCCTTCCCCCAGCGTCCCAGCGGGCCGAGAGCGGTCCAGACGCAAGCTCCAGCCTCCGCAACATATCCCCCCTCAGCAGGTAGTACACCAACCACCCATGCAGCTCCGCCAGCCCACTCCGCCCCCCTCTCCACCCCCAGAGCTCTCCTTCCCCCTCCCCGACACCCCCAAGCAGAGCCCGCCCGACATGGATGAGGAGCCAGAAAGAGCAGGGGCTGGGGTGGCCGTCCGCTCCCCTCCAGGTGGCCTCCAGAGGCAGGACTCCGACTCCAGCTCCCGCTCCAGCAGCCCAGAGCCCCTGGCCCAGCGGCGGCCCGGACCCCTCTCCCTGCTCGCCCGCAAGATGGCTTCCGAGGGAGCGTTCGGAAAGAGTGGTGAGGGTGCCTCAGACGGCCAGACAGGTCCTGGTGGGGAGTCTTCCGGACCAGGAGATGGAGGTAGCCGCATCCCAGGAGCAGGACCGGGGGTTGGGGTAGTCATGTTCCCTGGGGCTGCTATCACCCACACAGGAGGCAGCAGTGCAGCGCACTCCGGATCCGTCCCTGTAGCTGAGGTCCCTGCACCAGTGGCTATGTTTGGATCAGGAGCCCAGTCCCATCCTCTCTCTCTGGTGTCTGGAGCAGCTGTCCCCAGCATGACCCTCACCGCTGAGCCCCAGGGTCCATCTGGAGAGACGGCACAGAAGAGGACAGAGAAAGAGAAGAAGCAGGTGGAGGAGAGGGAGATGAAGCAGGTGGAGAAGGAGAAACAGGAAGAGAAGGAGAGGGAGAGTTGCCTGCCGCCAGGGAAGCACAGACGTGACTTGATGTCTCCGTCTGCGTCCTCACAGTTTGGGTCTGGGGGGTCAGAGGTGCCTGCGGTGAACCAGGGGGACAGCCCGAAGAAGTCACCCTTCGGCAGGGACGAACCCCTCTCCTCCCCTCCCGGCTCAACCACCTGCCTGCCTGCCGTCGCCCCCAAGAAGCCCCGCATGTTCTCCGACACCTCATCCGGCTCCATGACGTCCCCATCCCAAACCTGGGCAGCAAGGGTCTGTGGTGGTGACCATCCCAGGGGGACCCCCTGAACCCCATGGTATATCTGTGAAACCGCTCAAACAGGGAGTCCTCGTCTCAGGGGCCCAGCAGCACACGGACAACACCATAGAGGTCACCTCACCGAACAAGGCGTCCGCGGAAAAGCCTGGAGGAGACGATGGGAAGATGGAGAAGGAGCGTGACAGCCAGGCAGAAAAGGGGACAGCGAAAGCCGGGGAGACCAGGAGAAGGGGACCTGAAGAGGCTGTTGAGGTTGAGCCCATGGGGCCTGTTCTGCCCCCCTCTTACCTAGGTAAGAGAGAAGAGGAGAAGAAGCGGAAGGAAGATGAGAGGAAGAAGGAAGAAGAGAGGTGCAGGCAGAGGAAGAGGGCGAGCAACAGGAGGTCATCCCCCACCAGCAGCGGCGACTCTTCCTCCGATTCTGGATCCTCTTCATCACGTTCCTCTGGCTCCAACCTCCTCCCAGGACAAAAAAAAGGTTAGTGACTGGGTAATCCGGATGTCAAATCAATCTTTCTCTCTGCAATGACAAGCTACCATCACCCTTCAGTACTAGAGCAGTCTACACATTAGTCTCCGATGATGATCCCGCCATGCTAATACTGATGCACCAGACTGGCAGTGTGTCTCTCTGGGTGCAAGTGAGTTAAACTCACCTTCTCATACTGACTGGGTCAGTGTGGGCTGAGGAGAATTAGTAAAAGATGCTTCACCACCTGTGACATGCTTCTTTATATTATTGAACATAATAATTTAACATAATAACCGCTCTTCCCTCATACAATCCCAGCAATCTTTCTTGACATGCTTTTATTTGATCATATAAAAGGGGATTATTTTCCGGTACAGAAGTAGCTTCTTGCTTTTGTCTCTAACACAACACATTGATATTTTGCCATATATTGCCAATTGTCTGTCGTTTGCTCATTCTATTTGTTTGTCAGAAGTCTGGCCCTGGAAAAGGAAGACAGGATGAAAAGAGAAGACTGGAAAAGGGAGGAGAGAAGAAACAGTCTTCCAGGTCAGCCATAATACCATTTGAGTTGCTCTCACAACGCACACACTCCTCCTTGTTCTTTACACATACACACCAGGGTTTCCATTAGCCGGTAATAGCCGGATTTAGGCTGCTAAAAAAATGGAAAAGCCAGTCAATAAAATTGCCGCCGGCTAATTGTCTGGTAGAAGAAGAAAAATAATGCTTTTTAGCCTAATCATTGTCAGTTAAGAACAAATTCTTGTTTACAATGACGGCCTACACCGGGAAAAAGCTGGACGACGCTGGGCCAATTGTGCGCCGCCCTATAGGATACCAGTTGATGGAAATACGTTTGACCGGTCATGATTATTGGTCTATGGGTCAATTTGCATAATTTAGTGGAATTAAATTGACGCATGTGTATATTCGTTATGTATCTTATTTATGACACGCACAGCATACAGATACAGAGTCTTTTAGCGGAAAATCTGTCAGACATCACTTTTATAAGCCCAATCATTGCGCAACAATTCTAAATGCAATCATGTGTTCAAATGTTTTTTGGCCACGATTAAAGAGGTAATATTTGTATTTCTCAACTGGTAATTGAAGTGTGCTTCCCATTAGCCATTCAAATGCATAGGCAAAGAAGGCAGGCTTCATCAGTGCGTCACCTACCACTTTGTAATGAGCTGGAGGCGTTATGCATTTTGAAAGCATATAGCTGCTTAATTGTTTGAAACCTGAACATTTTACTACATATTATGAGGCATGTTTACCTTGCTTCAAAGTAGCCTAGGCAAAATCCAACCCTGTCCGTGGAGGCAATTATTTTATAAAGACTTCCATATGCCATTGAAACCAGTAGCCCATTTCTCTCATGTTCTGTTGGTTTTCAACTTTCTTTCACTGTCCGGTAGCAAAATCCACATTCACGCGTAGCCTACTGCCTTGTGAACATTGCTGCGCTAATAATGTTAAGAAATAATAGTTGATCAACATTTTAGCTAAACAAAGCCTTTTATTTTGTAATTTAAAAATTTTATCCTAGTCCTAACGGTTGTATGAATTTGGGAGCACCGTGGGTGGACGCCCTAATCAGGTTATGCACCCAATGCATATGGGTCTGAGAAATATACGGGTAAATTAAAATGCTGCCGGTCAAATGTCCAGCGCCACATTTTCATAACGGAAACCCTGACACACACACTTCACAAAACAAACCCTTGGTGAGCTGCTAATATTTGCACACATACATTTTCCGATGCATTACCGATTTGTACAGTGCTGTGAAAAAGTATTTGCCCCCTTTCAGATGTTCTCTATTATTGCATATTGTTAATACTGAATGTTATCAGATCTTCAACCAAAACCTAATATTAGATAAAGGGAACCCGAGTTTACAAAAAAATAAGTTATTTTATTTATTTAATTAACAAAGTTATCATAACACCCAACTCCCCTGTGTGAAAATGTAATTGCCCCCTTACACTCTAACTGGTTGTGCCACCTTTAGCTGCAATGACTGCAACCAAATGCTTCCTGTAGTTGTTGATCAGTCTCTCACATCGCTGTGGAGGAATTTTGGCCCACTCTTCCATGCAGAACTGCTTTAACTTAGTGACGTGTGGGTTTTCAAGCATGAACTGCTCGTTTCAAGTCCTGCCACAACATCTCAATTGGGATTAGGTCTGGACTTTGACTAGGCCATTCCAAAACTTCAAATGTGTTACTTTTTAACCATTTTCATGTAGACTTGATTGTGTGTCTTGCTGCATGACCCAGCTGTGCTTCAGCTCACAGACGGATGGCCTGACATTCTCCTGTAGAATTCTCTGATACAGAGCAGAATTCATGGTTCCTTCTATTAAGGAAAGGCTTCCAGGTCCTGAGGCAGCAAAGTATCCCCAAACCATCACACTACCACCACAATGCTTGACCGTTAGTATGAGGTTCTTACTGTGGAATGCAGTGTTTGGTTTTCGCCAGACATAAATGGGACCCATCTCGTCCAAAAAGTTGATGCAAGTTTGCCAAAAAGCACCTGGAAGCACCTGGATGACTCTTGGAAGAATGTTCTATGGACAGATGAGTCAAAAGTATAACTTTTTGGATGACATGGGTCCCATTATTTATTTTCCAATAAATTACTATTAAGAAGGAATTTGCCTGGAGGTTTTAATTCTAGGCGTAAACATATTTCAACATGTCCAGGCAATAACAGGCTACACTGACAACTTGAGCTTGGCTCCCAAGTTTCTAAACCATTCCAAACCATCTTTGGTATAGTGTCGCCATAATATTGGAATTGAGGAAGTGTGATCATAATCATTATTTTCACGATCTGCAGTAGACATCCTAAATGCAGATGTGTGCTAAACAGTGCACTTGCACCTGAGATGCATTTTTAGGCTATGGATGAGAAAGTTATCTTGTCAGGCTGCTTTGCGATCTATGAACAGCAAGGGTTGCATTAAAAGTTGACACATGTAGGCCCTTTTTATAGGCTATGCGCAGCACTTTGTTTTAAGCATCAATTTCTCTATTTAGTTAGGCCTATTGTTTTCTTGCTCAAACCACGAGCAACACCTGTCAAACTCAGACATTTCTCTCAACACAGGGATGTCGATTTGCATTGGACTAGCAATATAAGAGGACCGTGGAGTTGTTTTTTTGCGGCTGGAATTATTTACACACAGGTGTTCAGAGCACGGTAGATACAGTGCGTTCGGAAAGTATTCAGACCCCTTGACTTTTTCCACATTTTGTTAAGTTACAGCCTTATTCTAAAATGGTTTAAATTGCTTTTTTTCCCCATCAATCTACACAATACCCCATAATGACAAAGCAAAAACAGGTTTAGAAATTTGTGCACATTTATTAAAAATAAAGAACTGAAATATGACATTTACATAAGTATTCAGACCCTTTACTCAGTACTTTGTTGAAGCACCTTTGGCAGCGATTACAGCCTCAAGGCTTCTTGGGTATGATGCTACAAGCTTGGCACACCTGTATTTGGGGAGTTTCTCCCATTCTTCTCTGCAGATCCTCTCAAGCTCTGTCAGGTTGGATGGGGAACGTCGCTGCACAGCTATTTTCAGATCTCCATAGATGTTTGATCGGGTTCAGGCTCTGGCTGGACCACTCAAGGACATTCAGAGACTTGTCCCGAAGCCACTCCTGCGTTGTCTTGGTTGTGTGCTTAGGGTCATTGTCCTGTTGGAAGGTGAACCTTCACCCCAGTCTGAGGACCTGAGAGCTCTGGAGCAGGTTTTTGTCAAGGATCTCTCTGTACTTTGCTCCGTTCATCTTTCCCTCGATCCTGACTAGTCTCCAAGTCCCTGCTGCTGAAAAACATCCCTACAGCATGATGCTGCCACCACAATGCTTCACCGTAGGGATGGTGCCAGGTTTCCTCCAGATGTGATGCTTGGCATTCAGGCCAAAGAGTTCAATCTTGGATTCATCAGACCAGAGAATCTTGTTTCTCATTGTCTGAGAGTCCTTTAGGTGCCTTTTGGCAAACTCCAAGCGGGTGGTCATGTGCCTTTTTACTGAAGAGTGACTTCTGTCTGGCCACTACCATAAAAGCCTGATTGGTGGAGTGCTGCAGAGATGGTTGTTGTCCTTCTGGAAGGTTCTCCCATCTCCACAGAGGAACTCTGGAGCTCTGTCAAGAGTGACCTCCCTGACCAAGGCCCTTCTCCCCCGGTTGCAAAAATTCCCCAAAACTTGTTTTCACTTTGTTATTATGGGGTATTGTGTGTAGATTGATGAGTAAAAAAAAATGTTTTAATCAATTTTAGAACAAGGCTGTAATTTAACAAAATGTGGAAAAAGTCAAGGGGTCTGAATACTTTCCCGAATGCACTGTAGCTAATTAACACAGGTGGTTCCGTCTGTCTTCCGTAAACAAGAGCTGCAACATGGAGATATGGGCGTTTGGGAACACGAAGCCTAACCCTATAAAGGTGCAAAACACAGCTACACGTGCGCCCGGGCGACATTAATCGAACCCCCTCTATCATCCCTGCCTCAGTTGTCTGTAATGTGAATGTTTCTTTGGAATTTAACACGTTGAACACATCCTTCTGGGCCCGGTTTCCCAAAAAGCATCTTAAGGCTAAGTTCGTTAGATCCTTCGTAGGAGCATTGTTAAATCTCTGAACGGTTTCCCAAAACCAATGTTATTAACATTGCACTTGAAAACGCTCGTAATCTAACGCCTAACTCAGACCACTCGTAGAACAGTGCGTCATTAGATGTATTTTTGCCCTGCTGGGACACTTTATACACAGATCTCTGCTAAACATTGAATCGCATGGTTTATACGTCTCTCTCTGTGACTGCTGATGACTTCAGAACAAAGTTGACTACAAATACAAAGTTTCCAATGTCTTTGCAATTGATACAAACAAGTGAGGTATAAAAAGATGCTTCAAATGAAAACTGCGATGACTGCATCAAAATATAAACAGTAGGGGCCCGGGGTAATCATATTGAAATACATTTAATATTAAATCAATTGAGTTCTATTTTGATACTTGTAGGCTACTATCTAATTTGTCTCTATATTTCATGTGTAGTCTAACGTGTGCAATGATGTGCCAAATCAGCGATTTTAGTCCATTTTTATTGGGTAAGCATTAGAATAAGCCACCTCAATATTTGCAGCCATAGGTGGTAATAGGAGCTGATCTGTCATCAGTATTGTAAAATAATTATAATGTTAAGGTAAGATTTGAATGGAGAAAGCTGATCCGATTTTAATTCTCCCTTTCTTTCGATACTATAAGTATTGACACATACTCCAATTTATCGACCGTTCTCTCTGCGTGTTGTTTTGGGAAACACGTTACATCTTCGGCCGTTGTAGGAAAGATACATCGTTAAAGCACTCCTAAGCTCCATCGCTATCAGGGAAACCGGGCCCTGGTCATTGATCTGTGGATGGATAATTTGACTCCAGGAGTGGATGGACGTCTCAAGGTAGCGATCAAGAGTTTAAAGATTATAATAAAAGCAGGAAGCACCATTAAAAATGTGTGTGCAGATATATATTTTATGGGTCTTGCCTTTGCCAGAAGATACCGACCCTACCCTTACGCTTGTTTACACTGAGCTGCACTGGGGTCTGAACGCAATCATGGTTACATTAAGACACCTTGGAGCCGGCGTGAGATATGGGTTGGAAAACGTACCTCAATGCAGACTACTAGTTTTCCCGGAAAACTGCCCTTTTCATCCTCCGCTAGCAGTAGCCACAGCAGCTATTATGGAATGGCACTTCATGCTGAACAAGAAAGGAGCTTATTGGCTGACTGCCATTCCAAAAATGGCTGCAGTGGCTACTGCTAGCTAGCAGGAGGACGAAAAGGGCAGTTTTCTGTGAAAACGCAGTATTTAAAACTTCTCTATGTATGAGTGTGGATGATGTAAAATGTTGAGTATAGTTGCGTATCCCATCCCTGCATTGAGGTAGATTTTCCAACCCATATCTCATGCTGGCTCTTAATGTAACCATGATTGCATTCCGACCCCAGTGCAGCTCTGTGTAAACAAGGTAATGGTCTGTATCTTCTAGAAACTCTTGCCTCATCATTAAGTTTTAATGTCCATCTATGTCATGAGTGAAGTATGTTTCATGGGTTTTGTGTTTTTTGATGAATGACACATTGTTTGACTTAATTTCTAATTTGGACATTTGACACATGGATATATTGGAAAGAAAATGTGAACGGTTTATTCCATATAGAGATGACGCAATTAAATTGGCCATAACACCACACCCAGATTTTGCCACGTTTTAGCATGATCCATTGTAACTACTCTACTACTGCCAAATGTCAAATTCGTTGTTACAAAATAGCGATAGCATCCCTTCACATACCGACAGCATTGTAAACAGTCAATTATTACTTGCGCGACTACTAGTTATAGAAAAGGCAAGGAAGGGGCAACGGTAGTCGTATTTCTTGTTAGGCGTTTAATGAGGCACCCCACAGCCGAAGAGAGACGGTTAGTGCAATCCGGGATTCTTGGGACGCCCCTTTCCTAAACTAAACCAAAGATTATCTATTATATTGAAAAGATAGCAGAGTGACCGCTCTAACAATAGAAAGACATGTCCTCAATGATTGAAGGCAGGGGAGATCGGGTGGGACTATTCTAGCCAGTGAGCGGGCAAATACGCGTGTGAACAACAGGCACACAACTGTCGTTTTTCTCAAAGTAGCCGGAATGCCATCCACTTATCAGTACATTTGTAACAGGCTAAACATAACAAAACTTCTATAGGATAAAAGAAGCTTCGCGTAATTCGACACTCTCAGACCTCCATACAAAAAGGGCTTATCTCACGCGGACAGATGTTGGGCAGGGTAAATCCTCTCGCTTCGCCTTTCCCTCTCTGCCTTAACCCCTACAATAACTCCAACCAGTTGAAAATTGGGCTCCCGAGTGGCGCAGTGGTCTAAGGCACTGCATCTCAGTGCTTGAGGCGTCACTACAGACCACCTGGTTCGATTCCAGGCTGTATCACAACCGGCCGTGATTGGGAGTCCCATAGGGCGGCGCACAATTGGCCCAGCGTCGTCCGGGTTTGGCCGGTGAAGGCCGTCATTGTAAATAAGAATTTGTTCTTAACCGACTTGCCTAGTTAAATAAAGGTTTAAAAAAAAATATATATATATAAAAAAATCGTCTTCAATGGGGGTGACGTCAGAGTTGGAGGTCCCAAGGATCCCGGATAGCGAACTATTTCCCCCTCTCGGCTCGCTATCCAATATGGCCGTCGTGCGTGTATTGGTACTCTGATATCGTCGCAGTGCACAAACCCGGCAGCCGCAAAAGGATTTCTCGTCCTCGATTTCAATCCGTGCCTGACTGGAGCAATCGATTGCGATAGTGTTAGGTGTCGGCGGTTTGAGCCAGACAATATGCTATCAGAAGGGACCAAAAACGGGTAAGATAGAGAGCGAAAGGTTAGGCATTACGTTGCTAGATTTGCTTCATCGTAGTAGCTAAGGCGCAGCCAGTGCTGATTGTCACTTGTGTCATGTCTCAACCGCTCGTTCACCCTGCGCGTCTGGTGCCCTAATTAAATTATCGCTAAACATACGTTGTCACTGTCAGCGGTGGGCTTTTGATTACTAGACTGACACGAAGTGTGTTACATTACATACATTCGTCGTGCACGTGAGTCTCGCTCTCTCCGCGTCCACGTGGGGTGTGGATCCGTTGGACTCGTGTTCGGGGATGGGAGATACCAGGGTAACTCCGCAGTCATTCAAGTTTATTAGTACCAGAAAATACATATACGCAGATAAGTAAGTACTAAAACTGGTAGTAGTTGGATCAAACGCGACATACTGAGAATCATGCAGAAGCTTATGAATTAAACAACGAATTACTTCCTCGTTGTTCTTGACTCGTCGTAACATGTTTCAGTTTAGCTTGTGTGTGTGTGTACTAAAGCTCACCTACACTCGCTGTGTGAATCAAATGGCTGTTTAGAGACCATTTTATATATCTGAATGTACACTACCTGTCTCGCTATGACTCCAGTACATGAATAGATATACTGCCTGTCTCACTCTGTATGAATGTCTTACTATATGAATACAGTGTAGGTAACGACTCTCTCACTTCAGAGGTAGGGTATGACTGATTAATTGTCCACCTCCTCTCCCTCGTCTTTTATGCTTCTTTTGTCAGGTTAGTTATTGCTGTGGAGAGGAGATGGATGGTGTCAGACAGAGCCATGTATAAATATATATGGCTCTGGTGTCAGATTAAGAGTCGTGATGATGATAAAGAATACTGTTCATGTTGTTAATGAGCAAGTGTCACCATGGGAGATAATTTAATACACAAGACATGTGTTGGCCATTGTGGGTGGGTGCCCTTATGGTGTGTCATAATTCTCCACCTGGCAAGGCTGGGGATGAGGCTGTCTCCTGGGGGTACTATATGGACTATCAATGGTCAATGTGGAGTAAGGATTAAGTTATATAAATGAGGAAATGAAAAAAAAAATGGGGGGCCTCTTTAGCAAAGAGGCAGTCCTCCTTCCAACGAACACACAAACGAACACACACTCTTAATGATTACATCTGGGACCGGCTGCTCCTCCACTGCTGCCCCACTGGGGTGGAGTTCTAGTTGACATATGTCCCCTGGCCCCTCATAGGCCTCAGATTGCAGGTGTGTGTTCGGAGTGTGTAAGAGACACACGCAGAACAATGGCTTCACTTTTTTGGTGTGGACGATGTGGAAGGCTTGAGGAGTCCAATCGGTTATCAGTCAGTGACATTAGGATGACCCTGTAAGTGATCTCCTCAAAATGTGTGTACGCGTGTGGTCTTTGGTTAGTCAGCAGTGCATGTCTTGGTTGGTCAATCAGTGTGACTGACCGTATGAGGAGTTTGTTTTGAGGAGTATTTGTGACCTCGTAGCTGGGTCGCTGGGTGTCAGTTGGCTGTTTGGTGGTGTGAGAAAGTTATTTATAGTTGCACTGTCCCAGATAACTAGCCTCAACCAACCTTCCCTTCTCTCTCTCTCCGTTTCCTGTGTCTTCTCGCTGTCTTGTCATGATCTGTCCTCTGTGTGTGTCCGACTCTCTCTTTACTAGAGGTATCCTCATCCATCCATCTTCTCTTATTTTTTGATGAGGGACACATTTTTGTTCCTTCCTACTAGATTGACTTTTTAGCTTTCATGGCTAATGGTTGTAGGTAGGACTAAATACCACATCTTTGCCGTTTTTATGTGTTTTACGATGACATGCTCTTCATTCAGATCTTTGTATGATAATACATCATCTCTCTCTACTATCCTCTCTCTCTCTCTTCCCCAGGGAGGAGAAGCAGTCTTCCCTGTCGGAGCCGTCCGGCCCTGGCCCTATGGAGGTGGTGGAGAGGACAGACCCAGAGGACTCCAGGGCCCCCCAGCCCACCCCCGAAGGGGACCCAGAGAACAGTGAGGGCCGCATGGAGGAGGTAAGGCCGCTGAGAGGGAGAGGTGGGGGCCTGGGCGCATGGGGATAACTCTGGGGGGGGGGGGGGTCAGTGGATGTTTCAGGAAGTAACCCCCTCGTCCTATGGCTTAGTCTGGTACAGGCTGTGTCCCAAGTGGGACCCTGTTCCCTACATAGTGCACTACTCTGTTTTGACCGGAGCCCATAGGGTGCGCTAGAAATAAAATTGTGCACTATAGGGAATAGGATGCCAATGGGACACAGCCCTGGTTTGAGACAGTTAAACGTCCATTGATGGATATTTGTGGATGTTTCAGGGTAACAGTGAACGAACATACTAACCCCCTTGTTACTATGGCTTAGTTTGATACAGTTCAAATACCCATAGGTAGATTCTTCTCTCCACAAATGGGACTAAACAAACTAACCTAACCTCTTTGAAACAGCTAGCTAAATGTCGATAGATACTGTTCGCAACATACACTCACACATAGACATGCCACACACACGTTATTCTATATTCTTCTATATCTGGAGGTTTTCATAGAGCAGTTGCTTTAGCGACTGGACTGCAGGTGGTTCATCACTAATGGGGTGTGAAATTAGACGTGAACTCCACATGGACTGCATGCGTGCTCCACATCTCAATGTTGTTGGGTCATTTGTGTGTGTGTGAGAGAGAGGGTGAGTCAGGGTAATCTACAGTCACATTGCTCATTATTATCACAAGCTAACAAAATACACACGCACATAAATATGCATTTAACATACATTTTCCAAATCCTATTATGACCATACACGTAATACTACAGAGCCATCAAGGGTAGGCAGAGTCAAATGTATTTGTTTGGCCATTTTGAAATGAGCGTAAACCTTCCTTCCCTTCTTGTTAGTCAGATCCAACATAGTAAACCAACAGTGGTCAGTGGCTGAACGGACCACTAATTTCAAATGACAATAGTCCATTATGAGAACTTCAGAGCATTCTGCACTTTTACACATTTCAGATTATAAACTAATGCAATTGCTATTCAGCGAAGCAGTTCCTTTTGAAATGGCTCACCCTCACTGTGTGTGTGTGTGTGTGGGGTTGTGACCTCAGGGTTTGCATGAGTAATAGCCCCTGACAGTGTGCAGGAAGAGATGCATCAAGTCTCTCCCTCTGCTTTCCCTCATTTTCTCTCTACATCCCTCTGTCCCGACTCGCTCTCTGTCCCGACTCTCGCTCTCTGTCCCGACTCTCGCTCTCTGTCCCGACTCTCGCTCTCTGTCCCGACTCTCGCTCTCTGTCCCGACTCTCGCTCTCTGTCCCGACTCTCGCTCTCTGTCCCGACTCTCGCTCTCTGTCCCGACTCTCGCTCTCTGTCCCGACTCTCGCTCTCTGTCCCGACTCTCGCTCTCTGTCCCGACTCTCGCTCTCTGTCCCGACTCTCGCTCTCTGTCCCGACTCTCGCTCTCTGTCCCGACCCGCGCTCTCGCTCTCTGTCCCGACCCGCGCTCTCGCTCTCTGTCCCGACCCGCGCTCTCGCTCTCTGTCCCGACCCGCGCTCTCGCTCTCTGTCCCGACTCGCGCTTTCGGCTCTCTGTCCCGACTCTCGCTCTCTGTTCCGACTCGCACTCTCGCTCTCTGTTCCGACTCGCGCTCTCTGTTCCGACTCGCGCTCTCCCTCTGTCCCGACTCGCGCTCTCCCTCTGTCCCGACTCGCGCTCTCCCTCTGTCCCGACTCGCGCTCTCCCTCTGTCCCGACTCGCGCTCTCCCTCTGTCCCGACTCGCGCTCTCCCTCTGTCCCGACTCCGCGCTCTCCCTCTGTCCCCGACTCGCGCGCTCTCCCTCTGTCCCGACTCGCGCGCTCTCCCTCTGTCCCGACTCGCGCGCTCTCCCTCTGTCCCGACTCGCGCGCTCTCCCTCTGTCCCGACTCGCGCGCTCTCCCTCTGTCCCGACTGGCGCGCTCTCCCTCTGTCCCGACTCGCGCGCTCTCCCTCTCTCCCGACTCGCGCGCTCTCCCTCTCTCCCGACTCGCGCGCTCTCCCCTCTGTCCCGACTGCGCGCTCTCCCTCTGTCCCGACTGCGCGCTCTCCCTCTCTCCCGACTGCGCGCTCTCCCTCTTCCCGACTCGGCTCTGCTCTCCCTCTCTCCCGACTGGCGCGCTCTCCCTCTCTCCCGACTGGCGCGCTCTCCCTCTCTCCCGACTGCGCGCTCTCTCCTCTCCCGACTCGCCCCGCTCTCCCTCCTCCCCGACTGTCGCGCTCCTCTCTCCTCCTCTCCCACTCCTCGCTCGCTCTCCCTCTCCCTCTCCTCGCTCTCCTCTTCCGACTCGCGCTCTCCCTCCCGCTCGGCGCTCTGCCCTCCTCCTCGACCGCGCGCTCTCCCTCTCGTCCCGACTCGCGCGCTCTCCCTCTGTCCCACTCCGCTGCTCTCTCCCCCTCTCTCCCGACTCGCGCCGCTCTCCCCTCTCTCCCTCCCGACTGCGGCTCTCCTTCCCCTCCTCTCCTCTCCCGACTCGCGCCTCTTCCCTCTCTCTCCGACTCGCATCTCCCTCTCTCCCGACTCGCGCGCTCTCCCGACTCGCGCTCTCTCTCTCTGTCCCGACTCGCGCGCTGTCTCTCGACTCGCGCTCTCTCTCTCTCCCGACTCGCGTGCGCTCTCTCTCTCTCTGTCCCGACTCGCGCGCTCTCTCTCATTCCCATGATCTCTTTATTTATTTTGGTGTGACTGCTGTTTTAAAACCCCATTGATTGCTTTGTTACGAAGGTGCCCATGCCTCTTCCATTGCCCCTAATGGTACCTGCGTACTACTACTACTGCCACCTCCTCCTCCACTACTACTACTCCTCCTCCTCCAACTCCTGCCCCGCTATGCCCAAGCGCCTCGGCTGGACCTGAGCTAGGCCCCAGAGTGAGAGCTACTACTACACCACACCTGATTGCACTGAGGTAGCCTCAGAGAGAGAACCAGAGAGCCTGAGCCACCAAGGCCTCCCCTAACCCCCAGCACTGATTCAGCCACAGAACCAGAGGCTGAGCCTGCAAGTCCTCCCCAGAACCAAAGCCTCCCCTCCAGCCCAGCCCTGAGCCAGCCACAGGGCCTGAGACTGACCCACCAAAGCCCAGAGCTGAGCCAGCCAAAGAACCAGAGGTTGAATAAAAGCCACCCCTAACCTCCAGCCCAGTCATTCGCTGAGCCAGCAGGAACACAATAACATCACACCAGAGGCCCTCTGTTGCCACAGCAACCAGCAACAGAACCCTGGGGAGGGAATCCCACTCACTAAACTGCCTGATGGAGAGGGAGGGAGGGGGACGTTGTCTGCTGCCGTCGCCCTCCCTTCCTTCCTTCCGCCATTTTGTGGAGAAACTAAAGCTACAGCTACTCTCCGCACCAAGAGAGAAGGAGCATGTTCTGCCAGACTTATCACAGACAGGATGACTTCCTGCTGTTTATCCCTGTGTCTCCATGCCAGTCTGCCCCCTACTGGTCGAGAGGACTATAAACAGGCAGGAGCCTTTCTGCCTCATGGACTTGAATGAACAGGGCCCACCTACACACTGATGAGGCCCATCCAGATATCATCAGGGCCTGATCATCTGAAACGACACCAAGTTGACTTTCTCTGATGCATCTCCCAGCTATGTGTCTTCAATGTAGACACTCGAGTGGATTATTGAAATGGATTTAAAACATTATTTTGGACTACATATTTTTTCATAAGACAACCGCTGAGTGCGAGAAAATATGGAAATGTTTTGTTGCTACGGGCCTTTTCATTGGCTCATTGGCTCGTTCCCTTGTTCCGAATGCTACTATTGGCTTGGCCTGCCAGGCCAGCAGCCAACCTGGACCTTGATTGGCTGGTCAATCCTCATTAGAGACTATTACAACCTTCTGGATTTTATTTGAACGTTTCACTTGCATCAAAGATACTCAAAGCAAAGTCGAAAGGACATATTTTGGCGAATCTGGTTGCAGAGTACACACAGAATAAGTCATCAGTATGTGTGCTTATAGCCTGCACTCTGAATTCACAACTATTGAACATCTCCCTACGGCTTCCCCCTCACGGAACTTTTGACACTACACCAGCCACTATGGATTTAAACTTTAATCTGTGGTCTCATTGGACTATTGGTTATTACACAACCAGAGGCTTTTCAGTTGGAACTTTTCAAGTCTACAGGGCACGCAAATTCTGTCATGGACATCAAGCGATCCGATTTGTTTATATTGGGACTTCCAAAGTTTTGACCCCCTTCTACCAATATTAATCGACGAACCAACAATTCATGAACTCCTTGCCTAACAAGCAAAAGGCAAAATGACTCTAATCAAGCAAAGCACCAGTCAAAAAGTCCAAAGTTAAGATCACTTCCTGCCTGCCAGCTAATCACCATTCAGCACACTCAAATCGAGTACCGCCCTCACTCCTCTGCCTTCTCTGATTGGACCCTTGTTGCCTAGATACAGTACACAATGCCGTGCGGTTGGGCCATAGCCAAGCCAGTGGGGAATCAGGTGTCAATGGTACCAGGAAATGACTTGTAATTTTTCTCTCTATTTGAGATGTTTTTTTGTTTTTCTTTTAATTAACTATTAAGAAAAGAAATGTCAGTTAGTTTCTTCTCATATCTTTTTGGTTGTTTACTTCAAGACAGGAGGATTGACTTCATTTTGCTATGTGTAACTCAGTATAACCCCTTTTAAACTCACAATTACTGCAGTTTCAATTTGATAAAAAAAAAAAAACATAATTTGAGCTCCTAAAGCTGATATCTAGCCTATCCTAAGTGTCTGCATACATTTCCTGGCAGATCACCGTCCTTTATTTGAATCCTCCACTGAATTGGAACTGCAGTATCAGCCCAGACCTGTTCAGGTGTCTCTGGTCTGACAGACAATGTCTCCAGCGCCCACCCCTCCACCTCTGTGACATCGAACACTCGGTCGCAACCCAAACAGCGACTCACAACATTAGTTCCTGTCATATTTTACGTTGATGTTTAGGCACCAATACAAATGTAAAATGTAAGGACTACATGTAAGGGCCATAACGAAGACTATACAGGATTATAAACAATTGATACAGTTCCAGTATAGTCGGTCTCTGCTTACCACACACAGGAAGAGCCAGACACTCAAGTCATTATTAACGATCAGCTCAAGGGTATCCCCCCGACTGTCTAGTATGCTGGTCTGAACATTAACATCCTAGACCCAGAGGCCATAAAGATGCATTAACACAACGCCCTTTATCACTCCACTTGGAGCTAAAAGGTATTAGTCAATGTCAGTCAGTCAGTCTTCTACTCAACCAGCTGAGGTCTCGATCAGTGTAGCAGAGGAAAGCTAGTTGATGCCTTTTATGTATTATTTTCTATGTACTTGGTTTGTACTCAATGGGCACTACATCCACAGCAACACAGCAGGATTATATTACCACTGTGTCTACAAGAACACACCAACACACACCAGTCGGAGTTGTCTGGTGATTAGCCTAGCTACACCCACAGTAACACAGTAGGAGCTGTCTGGTGATTAGCCTAGCTACACCCACAGTAACACAGTAGGAGCTGTCTGGTGATTAGCCTAGCTACACCCACAGTAACACAGTAGGAGCTGTCTGGTGATTAGCCTAGCTACACCCACAGTAACACAGTAGGAGCTATCTGGTGATTAGCCTAGCTACACCCACAGTAACACAGTAGGAGCTGTCTGGTGATTAGCCTAGCTACACCCACAGTAACACAGTAGGAGCTGTCTGGTGATTAGCCTAGCTACACCCACAGTAACACAGTAGGAGCTATCTGGTGATTAGCCTAGCTACACCCAAAGTAACACAGTAGGAGCTGTCTGGTGATTAGCCTAGCTACACCCACAGTAACACAGTAGGAGCTGTCTGGTGATTAGCCTAGCTACACCCACAGTAACACAGTAGGAGCTGTCTGGTGATTAGCCTAGCTACACCCACAGTAACACAGTAGGAGCTGTCTGGTGATTAGCCTAGCTACACCCACAGTAACACAGTAGGAGCTGTCTGGTGATTAGCCTAGCTACACCCACAGTAACACAGTAGGAGCTATCTGGTGATTAGCCTAGCTACACCCACAGTAACACAGTAGGAGTTAGAGCTCACGCTAACACACCAGGAGTGGTGTACTTTGGTTGTCTAGTGATTTCTTACAGTGCTACAGCCACACCAACACACAGCAGGAGTATATTCAGGCGTTCTCTAGTGATTATCTCCCAGTGTCCTTTGAACAAAGGTGGGGGCGAACGTGTCTGGAGTCTCTCTGTATCGACCAAGCCCCCCCACCCCCCCACCTCTCCTCTCTCTATCCCCCCACCTCTCCTCTCTCTCTCTATGCCCCCACCTCGCCTCTCTTTCTATCCCCCCACCTCGCCTCTCTTTCTATCCCCCCACCTCGCCTCTCTCCATGCCCCCACCTCGCCTCTCTCCATGCCCCCACCTCGCCTCTCTCCATGCCCCCAACTCGCCTCTCTCCATGCCCCCAACACGCCTCTCTCCATGCCCCCACCTCGCCTCTCTCCATGCCCCCACCTCTCCTCTCACCATGCCCCCACCTCGCCTCTCACCATGCCCCCACCTCGCCTCTCTCCATGCCCCCACCTCGCCTCTCTCCATGCCCCCACCTTGCATCTCTCCATGCCCCCACCTCTCCTCTCTCTCTCTATGCCCCCACGTCGCCCCTCTCTCTCTATGCCCCCACCTCGCCTCTCTCCATGCCCCCACCTCGCATCTCTCCATGCCCCCACCTCGCCTCTCTCCATGCCCCCACCTCGCCTCTCTCCATGCCCCCACCTCGCCTCTCTCCATGCCCCACCTCGCCTCTCTCTATCCCCCACCTCTCCTCTCTCTCTATCCCCCCACCTCTCCTCTCTCTCTATCCCCCACCTCTCCTCTCTCTCTATCCCCCCACCTCTCCTCTCTCTCTATCCCCCCACCTCTCCTCTCTCTCTATGCCCCCACCTCGACTCTTTCTCTCTAACCCCCCACCTCTCCTCTCTTTCTATCCCCCCTCCTTTCTCTCTATCCCCCACCTCTCCTCTCTCTCTATCCCCCCACCTCTCTCTCTCTGTTTAGTCTGTTTTGTCCCAGTATCTGGGTCTCATCTCGCCCCACACCCCTGGGGTATCTGTTATGTCCTCTCTGTCGTTCCAGAGCACCACTCTTAAAGCTTTGGCCGCACGCAAGATCTCTTTGACCAGTGAGTATTACCAGTTGACCTTTTTACAGATTCTCACCTCAGTGAATCAGGAATTGTATGTCTTCAATCTGTAATTTACAATCAAAAAGGGTAAAAGTTTTCCCCTCATGTTATCACTATTACACAATCTGTGATACTAACCTGTTGTTTCTCTCAGCAGGCAGTAAGACTTCTCCAGAGGGAGCAGCAGCAGGAGAGGCAGACTCGGGGACCGCCGCTGGGAGGAAGAGGAGGTGGGGATCCAGCACGGCCGTCACCGCCAAGAAACCATCCATCAGCATCACCACAGACTCACTCAAGGTACTGGAGTGGACGAACGGAGGGACACGCACATGCATTCTGACAATCGACTAGTAGATCAGCAACTCATGGGGAGAAAAAGAACACTACATTTAACTTCGGAAAGAACATGAATTCAAAGTTGTTACATTAAAAATGATTGACCTCCTTTCGCTCCCCCCCCCCCCCCAGTCTCTGATCCCAGACATCAAGCCCAGTCAGGAGGCTGTGGTGGATCTCCACCCAGACGACATCCAGCTGTCTGGGGACGAGGACACCTCCTCCACCACCAGGGAGGACCAGGGCCTGGACAAGGACCTCAAGATCAGACGCACCGTCACACAGGTGGGGAGTACATGTGTGGGGCTTTCATGCATAAAGCCACAGTGTCTCACTCAGAAAAATATACACTTGAACTGTTGATGCTAGTTCAGACGTAAAGTCACACGAGAGCTGGGAGTCGGGAATACCACTGCTACACCTGTACTGGAGGTGTACTGATACAGGCTACAGGGGGTCAGATGGGTCCCCTGTTTAGTAGGCTACTGGATCATACACAGACATCTATGTAGCAGTACTGTACGGAGGTGGAATCTGAACCACCATGCAATCTCTTGAATGATCACATGACGTTAATAATAGTAATTGGAGACATACTGGTAGACTCCATGTAGATTTAAAATGGCTTTAGGTCATCTTTCCCCCACTCACTGTGGTATTATTAGGATCATCCTGCAATCAGCTGTAGTGATTACATTCTCTCCTCCATTCACAGGTGGTCCCAGGTGAAAGCCAGGAGAATGGCCAGGGAGGACGAGAAGAGGAGGAGGAGGAGAAACGGGAGCGTGACAGAGAGAGGACACACAAAGAGAAGAGAAAGGACAGCTACTCAGAAGACACCATGGAGTGTCAGTCCTCTACAACACAGGACGCCGACACCAAGAAAGGTAACTAACCACAGGGTTGGGGTCAATACCATTTCAATTCAGAAAGTAGACCCAATTCCAATTGGACATTTTCATCATTGAAAAGCAGTGAAGAGAATTGGAATTTCAGTGTATTTCTGAATTGACTGGAATTGAAATGGATTTGACACCAACCCTGAATTACCACACAACAGTTCTGAAGTGTAACACCATCTCCCAAGCCTCTTAGGCAAATACACTATATACTCAAATGAGTGGATTTGGTTGTTTCAGCCACACCCGTTGCTGACAGGTGTATAAAATCAAGCACACAGCCATGCAATCTCAATAGACAAACATTGGCAGTAGAATGGCCTTACTGAAGAGCTCAGTGACTTTCAACGTGGCACCGTCATAAGATGCCACCTTTCCAACAAGTCAGTTCATCACATTTCTGCCATGCTAGAGCTGCCTCGGTCAACTGTAAGTGCTGTTATTGTGAAGTAGAAACATCTAGGAGCAACAACGACTCAGCCACGAAGTGGTAGGCCACACAAGCGCACAGAAATGGGACCGCAGAGTGCTGAAGCGCATAGCATATAAAAATGTTCTGTCCTCGGGTTGCAACACTCACTACCGAGTTCCAAACTGCCTCTGGAAGCAACGTCAGCACAATAACTGTTCGTCGGGAGCTTCATGAAATGGGTTTCCATGGCCGAGCAGCCTAAGATCACCATGCGCAATGCCAAGCGTCGGCTGGAGTGATGTAAAGCTCGCCGCCGTTGGACTCGAGCAGTGAAATGCGTTTTCTGGAGTGATGAATCACGCTTCCCCATCTGGCAGTTCCGACGGACAAATCTGGGTTTGGCGGATGCCCGGAGAACGCTACCTGCTCCAATGCATAGTGCCAACTGTAAAGTTTGGTTCGGGCTAGGCCCCTTAGTTCCAGTGAAGGGAAATCTTAACGCTACAGCATACAATGACATCCTAGACGATTCTGTGCTTCCAACTTTGTGGCAACCGTTTGGGGAAGGCCCTTTCCTGTTTCAGCATGACAATGCCCCCGTGCACAAAGCGAGGTCCATACAGAAATGGTTTGTCGAGATCGGTGTGGAAGAACTTGACTGGCCTGAACAGAGCCATGAACTCAACCCCATCTAACACCTTTGGGATGAATTGGAACCCTGACGGCGAGCCAGGCCTAATCGCCCAACATCAGGGCCTGACCTCACTAATGCTCTTGTGTCTGAATGGAATCAAGTCCCTGCAGCAATGTTCCAACATCTAATGGAAAGCCTTCCCAGAAGATTGGAGGCTGTTATAGCAGCAAAAGGGGGACCAACTCCATATTATTGCCCATGATTTTGGAATGAGATGTTTGACGAGCAGGTGGCCACATACTTTTGGACATGTCTATTGTGACAAACCTCTAACCCATTTCTTTCCTACTTTCTCCCTGGCCTTTCCCCCCTTCTCTCTCTCCATCAGTCACTCCCAGTGATACTCTGGTGCGTCGCTCCATCAGTCAGCAGAAGTCTGGTGTGTCTGTTACCATCGACGATCCTGTCCGCACAGACAAACAGCCCTCACCGCCCAGAGGCAAAGTCTCCAACATCGTCCACGTCTGTAACCTGGTGCGACCTTTCACCCTGGGCCAGCTGAAAGAGCTGCTGAACAGGACAGGCTCTGTGGTGGAGGAGGGCTTCTGGATCGACAAGATCAAATCTCACTGCTACGTCACTGTGAGTAACGCTCTCTCTTGCTCACCCTGTCTCTCTCGATCTCTCTCTCTCATACCAGTTATCATTGTCTGTCTGAGAATCAAGTCTTGTCAGATTATTTATTCCCAAATTACTTGAGCCCTGATGGCTTTGAAAGTCCACACCACACCATTGTTTTTCAAATAATTGGCCATTGTTTGTTGACCTGTCTCTCTCCTCCCAGTACTCCAGCACAGAGGAGGCTGTGGCCACACGAGCTGCTCTCCACGGGGTGAAGTGGCCCCAGAGCAACCCTAAATTCCTCAGTGTGGACTTCTGTGAGCAGAATGAGGTAATTCTACTCTACCCTCTCACACCCAACAGGGAACAACCGGATAGTAATAGTAAACGCTAGAATTCCAGGAAGAGCCCTGATGAACTAATGGGTATCTTCATAAACTAGCTTGGGAAAGAAATAGCTGGCGCTTCACTCAGGCATAAAGGAATGTAACCCAACAGAAGGAATACCTCGGTCTATTGTGTGTAGATCATGTCTATAAAGAGAGTATATATCATTTAGATGTTTTGATTTTTTTTAAACAGATAAAAATACACCTTATGGAACAGTGGGGACTGTGAAGCAACACAAACATAGACACATGCATACAATCCATAATAATAATAAATACAACCACACATTAAACCCTTCCTCTCCTCTCTTATCCATCCAAGAAAGTGTTTAAAGTGATAAAACACTGCTGCCCAGGGCCTCCCAAGTGGCGCAGCAGTCTGAGGCACTGCATCGCAGTGCTAGAGGTGTCACTACAGACCTGGTTCGATCCCAGGCTGTATCGCAACCGGCCGTGGTCGGGAGTCCCATAGGGCGGCGCACAATTGGCCCAGCGTCGTCCAGGTTAGGGGAGGGCTTTACTTGGCTCATCGCGCTCTAGTGACTCCTTGTGGCGGGCCGGGCGCCTGCAGGCTGACCTCGGTGGTCAGTTGAACAGCGTTTCCTCTGACACATTGGTGCGGCTGGCTTCTGGGTTAAGCGGGCGGGTGTTAAGAAGCACGGTTTGGCGGGTCATGTTTCGGAGGACGCATGACTCAACCTTCGCCTCCCGAGCCCGTTGGGGAGTTGCAGCGATGAGACAAGATTGAAAATACTAAAATAATAATAATACAAACAAATAACACTGCTGCCCATGTAAAAATGTACCTCTCCTCTCATTCACCCTATTTTCCTCTAATTCATCCTTTCTTCCCCTCATTCTCTCCCTTCTCTAGCTGGACTTCCACAGAGGTCTGCTGACCGTGGACCCCAGAGAGGAGCATCGCCCCCAGCCTGCTGTGGGTCCTGGAGGTCCCAAAGTCCGTCCGGGGGGGCTGCCCCCTCTGATGCCTGAACGGGACGGGCGTGGGGACCGCGGGGCTGTCGGAGGGGTGCGGGACCAGTGGGCGGAGAGAGAAAGGGAGATGGAACGCCGGGAGAGGACCAGGGCGGAACGCGAGTGGGACCGGGACAAGGTCCGAGACTTCGGAGACAAACCAGGAGAGGTGCGGGAGAGAGGGAGGAGATCTCGCTCCCTGGATAGAGAGAGGAGGCGGAAGGAGAGGGACGGGAAGGAGAGGAAGACCGACAAAAAGGGTGAGAGGGGTTTTAAGCCTTGCAGAAGCTCCTGTTAGATAGATAGCACATTAAAACTGACTTTTGAAAGTATTGTTACTACATCATGTTACTGAACACCTCAAAATGTCCTAGCTATGTTCGTAGCCTATAGCTATGATGTTCAGACGCTCACTCGCTCCCCCTCTCTCCTCCGTCCTCCATTTTGATCTGTTCCAACAGAAGAGCCTCCTGCCAAACTACTAGACGACCTCTTCAGTAAGACCAAAGCAGCTCCCTGTATATACTGGCTTCCCCTCACTGAGGAACAGGTTAGAGACACACAAACTCATCCTAATGCAACAACTTGATAGGAGTGTGTGTGTTGTTATTAATGACCTTTGTTGGTATCTCCAGGCAAACGAGAGGGAGAAGGAACGGGAAGAGCGACAGAAAGAACGAGAGAGGAGGCGGAAAGAACAGCAGGAGGAGGAGGACAAGAAGCGAGAGGAGGAGAGGAAGGAGAGAATAAAAAGCAGAGAGGAGGGAGGAGCTGCGGTCAGCACTGGAGGTGGGAGTGTCCGGGGATCTGAGGGAGACCGGGACAGAGAGCGGGAGCGAGGGAGGGACAGGGAGGGGGAGCGAGGGAGGGACAGAGAGGGGGAGCGAGGGAGGGACCGAGAGGGGGAGCGAGGGAGGGACAGAGAGGGGGAGCGAGGGAGGGACAGAGAGGGGGATAAGAGGAAGGACAGTGGTGGATTCAAACCCAGAGGTCCCGACGCTAAACCCTTGTCCGGGTTCCGCCGTAGCCGTAGCAACCTCCGAGACAGACGCCGCTGAGAGTGGTGACAGTCTGACGTAGCGGGAGAGATGGCGGGAGAAAAAAGGAGGGATGCAATCATGTGACACACAATTGGAACACTGCAGAAAGAGAGATCTAGTCCCCCTCCTTTACCTTTAAAACACTTCCATTATCTTCATGGTAGTAGTCTGTTCCTCCTACCTAGTTAACTGTCCTTTAGGCCAAGGAGACTCCCATTTAGAAAACCTCACTTTGTAATGCTGTCTGTCTCACATTTACATGTATAAACTACTTGGTCACATGTTGATTGTTAGTGAAGTGAAAATGGCTGCCTCCAAAATGGTACCCTAATTCCTACACGCGGGCCCTTGTCGACAGTATTGTACTATATAAGGAATAGATATGGTGCCATTTCAGACACAATCTCTCTTCCTCCGTCATCAGTCTGTCTGCCAGCCCATGTATTGGGTGTATGTGCGTCTTCCTCATACGAAGCAGTTGAGGCCTATTCTGAGCTCTGTAAATTGTCCTGTATTTTAACCAGAGATGGAAACTGAGGAATGGCGGTTTGGCTCCCTCTAGCTAGTGTCCGCTGCACTCTTGCGGCTTGGAACAAAGTTAAGACTCTTCCCTGTAATAATCAATTTAAAAATAGCAGACCAGCCTACAAACATGTTCTAGAATCAATTTTAATATTCCAAAATCCTTTTGAAGTAATTTTTTTCTACTACCCCTACCAAGGCCCTTTGTAGGGTCATGTGAAGGTTATATTTTCTCCTTTGATGTTTTATGATGAATCTTGTCAATCTCAGCCTTGGATGGGTTTTGTGTTCTAGTGTGTGTGGTGGTCCAATATCCCTCTCCACACACTTAAGGTTACAGCTGGTAATGTGTCATTACACTGAAAACATCATATGCTTAAAAAAATCATACTATGTAACTGTCCTTTTGCCTTGTCAGATGGGAAGGGACATTCGTGTGGGGTGGGGGACTGATTTCATAGACGCACACCTGGTATGTATACTGTTATGGGTGGGGAGGGGAACCAAAAGCACTGAGACAATCAGTGTGGCACTGGAATGACATTTAATTGTCCCATTTTTCTGTCTTTCTCCTCCAGTCCCTTGTCATTGGATGAGTTTAAAACTTAATTATCTACCGTTTTAATATTGTTAATTTTACGATTTTAGTTTAAAGCATTCTTATTTGGCTCATTTGTTTGTTTCCTGTAAGTGCTGAATGTACAAATAAATAAAATATATGCAAAGTTAGGTGTTGTGTGATAGCGCATTCTTTATCACATTGTCCTTCTCACACTCCGTAATGTTGATCATGTTCCCAGTACTGTTGAGTCAACAATGGATTATTTGGGAGATTAGCTCATGTATTTTCCCTGTTGAGTATACGTGCAAGCATGCTATCCTGAATACTAGATTTGAGTTCCACCTTCTGGACAAAACTTGAAACTGCAATAAAGACAATTTAAAGTCGAACACAAAAAGGACAATATTTATTAATTACAACAGATACAGGAATGTATTTTTTTTACTTTTACAAGAAACAACTTCATCTCTTACGGTAAACATGTCCAATTTTAAGTGCAAATTGTTTGCTAGTGATAGTTAAATATAAAAACGGGTTAAGCAGATCAATAAATCCCTTCTATGGCCCTCAAACTACACTGGACCTCGAAGCCAGTTCCACTGTGTTTTTTCATTGTTCCCCTCTAATCAGTCAGGGCCTGATTTAGACCTGGGACACCAGGTGGGTGCAATTAATTATCAGGTAGAACAGAAAGCCAGCAGGCTCCAGACCTCATAGGGTATGAGTTGAATACCCCTGGCCTATAGCAAACAGTAGACATGGTCAGGGAGTAACAAGAAAGCAGTAGTTTTGTATTCTTCCTAGCCTGGCTCCAGATCTGCCAAATAATGGCTTGACAACAACCATAGGTGTTGGCAAGAAAGCACAAACTGATCTGGGACTAGGCTATATTCTCCCTATGAGAATGTTACGGTACAGTGATCGTAGAACAGCAGGACTTATGTCGCACCTGGGTGCTGTTCAGTAGCCACTAAACGGACAAATGCTCCAGGAGGTACTATCTATACTTGTCCAATAAACACTGGCTTTCATTTTCCGTTGCAAAACGTTCTGATACAGTGTGCCCTAATGAACTTGGCCCAGGTCACATACAGGTGTTCGATCTAAGACATTTCTGCTGTTGTTTCAAACTGGACCATACAGTAAATTAATCTTCTGCTCTGTGTTGAAAGCCTTTACCAGCATTTTCATGTGAGAGCTTGTCTGAGTAGAATTTGAAAAGTAAATTCAAACAGAGCAACCCATATTTTCTGGGTGTGCAGGAGAGCGAAAGAATGAGTTTCTATGAGTGAGAAAGGGAGGTGGAAGGGGAATGTTGAAAGGGTATGAATGTTTGCTGCATAGTTTCTTCCTCAGTGGGTGCTGTGAGGGGCAATGTTATGCGAGGCGCACACCTGCGTCATGTGACATGAGTGACAGAGGAGATGAGAGTCCAGAGGGAAGCACTGGGAACCCGGCTGATCCGAGAGCTGCTTCCCACAATCCTGAGGAATGAAACAGACAGAACATTAAATCTGATCCGAGTTCAGGTTTAATGCTTCATAAAATAAATACAGTCACTGTTCTTCATTTCTGGTCCTGGTGACTTGTAGGGTTTTGTTTCAGCCAATGATGAAGCCCCTTGATTACTGTGGTTGAACCAGGTGTGTTAGTGCTGGGTAGGAACAAAAGCCTGCACAGCCTGATTTAAGAACACGGGTAAGGACCGACCACATGACATAGTTGTTAGCTGCTATTATTAGATAAAGGCCATACTAACCTCACAGTGGTAGCACTCAAAGTGATAATCTTTGTTCATAGACACCACCCTGAGTATCTCCTCGCTGCCCTGTAACATAAAACAACAGCAGCAGTGAGATTAGTCAGCGCATTACAATCAAGTAGCAGTATGAAGTTGGTCTGAGTGGCATGCAGTTATGTCTCGATTTAGGCTAACGCACACACACAGCAAAGGAAACACAATGAGATACTCACCTCAGCAGGTAAGATGGGTTGTAAACAGGCAGCACATTTAGGAGCAAATTTTCTACAGGACAAAAAGAGTTCCAATTTGAGAATATAACCACATGTAGCCCTGGTAATGTAGCGTACTATTAATGTACAAACTGTGTGGTCAACTGAGTTGTATCCTCTGACCCTAAACAGCTTGACAATTCATTACAGTCTACACCGTCTGTAGTATATCAAAGTCTCAGTCTGGCCTACTGGACACCCCGTCTCACCTGTTGTAGTCGGAGACACAGTAGATGTTGCTGAGGTGGTCGACAGTGAAGGAGACTCCATCCAGGGCTTTGGAACACACCACACAGCGGAAACAGCCAGGGTGGTAGGAGTTCCCCATCGCCTGGAGGATCTGGTGGAACAGGACCACACAGTAGATAAGGGATGGTCCCTTAACATTAATGAAGATTTAACGCACACACATTTAGATTCACAATGAAACATTGGACATACAAGGACCACCCCCAAAAAATATTTGAACACACACACCTGTTCCAGGATAAGGTGGCCACACACACTGCATTTCTCTGCTGCAGCCTGGAAGCCTGAGAACTGAGTATGGAGAGAACATTTGAGATTTGAGACATGGTTTTATTTCATACCATAGAAAGCACCAGGGTTAGGGTCAATTCCATTTGAATTCCAGTCAATTCAGAAAGTAAACCAAATTCCAATTCCACATGTTCCTAATTGAAAAGCATTGAAGACAATTGGAATGTCAGTGTAATTCCTGAATTGAACCCAACCCTGAAAAGCAATATGTAAAACTTTGATGCAATTTACTGTAATCATGACTAGGAAAGCATTGTTTAGAAATGTAATGCACTGATATCTAGGAATGCCACTGAGCGAGATAGAGACTTCGACCTCTTACCATGTAATCCTCTTCACAGTACACAGAGCCATTGACGTTATAGAAGTCCTTGTTTCTCAGGGTGCGACCTGGGACAGAAGGACAGTCACGCCAAGTTTGACAGAGCTGCTTTTCTGACTATAAACTGCATGTATTGTGTGTGTTCAACTCACCACAGGACACACAGGTGAAGCAGCGTGTGTGATAGAGGCTGTCCAGGGCCTGGCAAGCGTTATCCGCTCCATACACACCGTTCCTACACTTCACACATGTACCTGCAACACAATCAACACAATGAACAACCTGGTGAGGTCCCTTCATCAAGAAAATGTCTTGGTCACTCATTACACAAGCCAAAATCAACACTAACAAAAAGCCCGGTACTTTTTCCTGGTCAGGTAAATTTTTGCTACAAACTTAGAACATATCATTAGGTATTTTAGATCATAATGAATAAGATTACATGGACAGATCCTAGATCAGCACTCCTACTCTGAGAAGCTTTGTGAATACGGGCCCAGTAGTTTTTCCCGGACCCACCTGAATAGGGAACAACTCCTGGCCTAGTCCCGATTGTGGCTATGCCTTCCATTGTGTAGGTATAGCCACACACATTTACATAGAGAAAAACATTTTGTCGGTCACAAATATTTAATAAAATTACCTTGAACAAAAATATAAAAACGCAACATGCAACAATTTCAACGATATAAGGAAATCAGTCAAATCCATTAGGTCCTAATCTAGGGATTTCACGATTGGGAATGGATCAGAAAACCAGTCAGTATCCGGTGGGATCACCATTTTCCTCATGCAGCGCGACACATCTCCTTTGCATAGAGTTGATCAGGCTGTTGATTGTGCAAACCCACAGTTTCATCAGCTGTCCGGGTGGCTGGTCTCAGACAATCCCGGAGGTGAAGATGCCGGATGCGGAGGTCCAGGCCTGGCGTGGTTACGTGGTCTGCGTTTGTGAGGCCGGTTGGGCGTACTGCCAAATTCTCTAAAACACGTTGGAGGCGTCTTATGGTAGAGAAATGAACATTCAATTCTCTGGAAACAGCTCTGGTGGACATCCCTGCAGTCAGCATGCCAATTGCACGCTCCCTCAAAACTTGAGCCATCTGTGGCATTGTGTGGCAAAACTGCACATTTTAGAGTGGTCTTTTATTGTCCCCAGCACAAGGTGCACCTGTGTTATGATCATGCTGTTTAATCAGCTTCTTGATATGCCACACCTGTCAGGTGGATAGATTATCTTGGAAAAGGAGAAAAGCTCACTAACAGGAATGAAAACAGATTTGTGCACAACATTTTAGAGAAATTGTTTTTTTTTGTGCATATGGAACATTTCTGGGATCTTTTATTTCAGCTCATGAAACATGGGACCAAAACTTTAAATGTGTTTATATTTTTGTTTCAGTATATACTTGAACTTACTCTGCCGATTGTCCGTGGGGTTGGTCCTTCAGTGGGTTGAAATTTGAGGCAAAATAACCACAGGAAAGTATTATTAAACAGACTTCAAAACACGGGTCTCTGTGTGTGGCAATCAATATTTGTTTGCTCGTGACCTAAGGCACGTGCACAAGACGGAAGTACATGCACGTGATGCGTGCATATTAACCAAAGTCTTGCAGATGTTTACATGGTTTTGCACATGTGCCAGGTGAATGAAATTTCAATTGAAGTAAACTCTAAAAAGTCAGGTAAATTATACTTTCCTGTGGATATTTTGTTTAAAACTTCAACCCACTGAAGGACCAACTGCACTGACAACCGGTAGAGTAAGTTCAAATGTAATTTTATTCAACATTCTGTTTTGTAAGGAAACATTCCAAGTTTTTGCAGTACTTTGTTTCAGACTGTATACCAAAAATGTATATCACTAATCTGCTTTCCGTCCAACCTTGTTATCTGAGTCAAGTACATGTCTGATAAAAAATGTAATTACAGGTGTGATGGAAACAGCAAAGGTCTGTAAACTTTCAAAATGTCTACAAAACACGCTAGACAAGGTGGGATCTTTTTGTGTTTGCAGAAATTAATTATGCAACAAATGGCGGTGGAAAGACCTTTATGCGCAAATATTGATATAATAACTGTCATATCGAAGTAAAGTTGGAGTCACGAGGTGATATGTTGTGTGGTCCTCCCACTATGACTCGGGAAAGCATGCAGTCCCATTTAACCATGTTTGGGTTTTTTTGGTGCATGGGAATTTAACGCAGACCCTTTTATCCACAACAAGTCAATATGATGGAAACATATCTGGTGGAAAAATATACATATTGTTTTTATGCAGATTTGAGCATATTCACATTAAATCTGTCAGCAACTGGATGGAAACCTAGCTACAGTCTGATTTTAGGCAACTCCTGGTCCTACACCCTCTGTCTGAGCTCCTGTAAAGAGCCTCGGTGGTGTTAACAGCTCTGAGCCTAGCTGAGTTGACACAGTTCCCATCCCTCGAGGGCTCACATACCTGGGCAGAAGAAAAACAGGCTGCTGCACACGCCAAGGCAGGGTAACACAAACCAGCACACGCATGACTCGCCCCACAGACACACCCAGGGCCGGCTTACCGAACGGGCAAACAGGGCACATGCCCCGGGGCCCCCGACCCCCACAAAAAAACAGATTGCTTATGACGTGTTCATATGCTATGACAAAATGTGTAGAATTGCATGAAATTTGCTTTAAAACTGAATTTTCTAAATGTGTAGAATAGCATTGTAAAACTGCACATTTTTCTCTGCGTCTCATGGTCAAATCTGTTGAACTGCAGGAAGTTATTTTTTGGGGAAACAGCTATAATAATTAGATTTTTGGGGGCCCTCTGGAGGTAGGTGTCCCAAATGCAGTAGTCCGGCCCTGCACAAACCACACACCCACTATATTATTATGGCCTGGAGTCATTCCGAACACACACACATCCTGCCACACTACACACAAATGCAAGGCATATACACACACTGCCAGTCCAAAGCTGTAATCTTCTCTATGACTCATACTAATGGTCAGTGCTGTGTTTATCACTAACATGTCATTTGTGAACACTGCAGCCGAGCTAAGCTTTCCAGTTCAGTGTATGCATAGCTACGCTTTATCAGCCCTCTATGTGCAACGTCTGTGTCTGTGCTTAACCCTACCTAAAACTGTTCTATACCAAAAGAGTCTCTTGGAGAATGTGATTCAGTGCATTAAGTTACGACTGAGTGACTTTGTTGCACAGAGACTCTTTGGCGTGTGTATTTTTGCGTTTCAGCTTTGATAATTCCTTCTCATTAGTTTTTCTCTGCGTCTCTATTCTCCTTTCTGTCTGATGTGCCCAGCCTAGCAGCTCTACTTGTCTGGATATGCCTCTGCCTTAGCAATCCCGCTGAGGGCCAAATGTTTCGCTTTCCCTTTGCTTGTGTGATAGGTAGGCCACTCTACAAGTTCATGCAGGCCTTGAGACCCGATCCATCCAATTCTCTCTCTTTCATCTATCAAAATCTGTCTATCCATCTAGCCACCCATCCAATCCTTTCATGAAAAAAAAAAGACATGCACCCAACACCCAACACTAACAAAACAAAGTGATGAAGATGACAGCGATGAAGAGGTTTGATGATCTCACCAAAGAACTCCTCCCTTCCCGTTCCCGGCTCCTCCTGGGCTTTGATTGATCTGGAAGCCGTAGCCGTAGTGACGAGTGTTGCCGGCTTGGCGAGGGCCTTGATTGGAGGATTGAGCTGTTCTTTGAGCATCAGCCCGCCCATGTGTAGCCCCTCCCCCTCCAGTGCTGCATCTCTTAGCAACAGGCGTGTCAGCTCCTCCTGGTAGCGGGTACCCGGGAGGTCCGAGAAGCGCATCCGCTCCCCGCCAGCACCCATGCCAGTCTCCTCTCCTCGGGCTGCCCCTGCTCCCTTCTCGTCCCACCACTCAGGCCCAGCCCGGTAACAGGCAGCCGCCGGGCTCCCTAACGCAGGCGGGTACGAATGCCGGCTATCCTGAATCCCTGCTCCTCCGGGTGAGAACACCCCATCCAGGTAGTCCTGCCAGCCTCCAGCCCCAGAGGGCGCCCCGGCCCTGCCTGAGACTGTGTAGCCCTGTCCGCTGGTGGAGCCCCCTGTGTGCAGGGAGGAGAACTGCAGCTGCGGTGCCATGGCGGAGGAGGCTGAGTAGCGCGTGTCGTAGCCCAGGCTGATTCCGCTGGTGCGGTTGCTGCTACAGCGGCTGCCCATAGGGCTCCCTCCTCCTCCACCGCTGGCTGTACTGGAGGCGAAGCTGGACCTGGGACTGACCAGCACTGACTCCTGGAGGCTAAAGGAGGAGCAGGGGCTCAGTGCTGGGCCAGGGGGGAAGAACCCTCCTCCTCCACCCATCTCAGAGGGCCGGTGTGGGGGGTGAGAGAGCGATGCCGGTCTGGTGCTCTCCCAGAGCTCCCCTCCCGTGCTCAGCCTCTTGTAGAACATTGCCTCCTGCAGGGAGAGGCGTTTGTGACGCTCAGGCTCGGGAAGGTAGTGTGGCTCAGCCATGGCCCCGCCGCGGGGAGCAGAGCCATAACCCGAGGAGGGGATGGGGTACGCTGGAGGGGGGACAGATGAATGGGACAGAGGAGGCTGGGAGAGGAGCTGCTGGCGTCGGACCAGCTGTTGGAGCTCAAGGGAGTAGCGGCGTTGGTTCAGAGAAGCCTTGGACCCAGCAGGGTCACAGTCCCCGAGGCCTGACTCACGCCTCATCTGGATGTCAACGCCCTCCCCCAGGTAGCAGGAGGCACGCTGCTGGGGCGTCCGGCGCCGGAGGGGGGCGAGAGTCGAGGGGGAGTAGGGTTGATGTTCGCAGTCAGTAGGTTGGGGGGTGATGGAGGTCGAGAGGTGCTGGGTAGAGGAGACTCTTTCTCCCAGTCCCTTCCCGCCACTGGCCAGCCCACACGCCTCCGTTGAGGTTGGAGAGGTGAGAGAGAACTGACCAGGTCTTGAAGGTGAGGAGGTGGCAGTGTTCAGGCTTGGTGGTAGTCCACTACTGGTGTCCCCACTGCTGTTCCCATTGCTGTTATTGTTGATGTTGTTGACCAACTCGTTTTTCTTTTTAGAACTGGCGAATTTCACACTTCCTGAGTCAGTCAGTTTCAACTTCTCCAATAACTTACTTCCAAGTCGGTCCATCGTAATGTCTAACCTGGTCGTCTAAAACTCGGAATAATCAAGTAAAAATAAATGCTGTTAATGAACCACTATGGTCTAAGTTAACGTACTCAATAAATACAGCGTGTGAGTTGGAAATACATTAAAAGTCTCAAGTATGTCTACAGTAGTTGAACTACAGTAGTTGAAATTACAGACCCTGCAATCTATATGCAAAACCAACAAATACCCCCAACAAAATACCCCCCAAATGAGAACAACCAATAGGCTATATGTACACAGACAATAAATAAAAACAGACGTTAAATAAGACGATTAAGACATTTTGGGAGGATCACATGACGACGTAATCATGTTTGAACAACAGTGTTCACAGTCATCTTGTCTTGGCTGTGGAGACTACAGGCAGACAGGTAGATGGTAACGCATGTGAATCCATCGAGTTAGAAGTGGACTACTTCTATTATTCTGCCAATATTGGAAATAAATACTGATAAATAGAGCTATTTAGGACACTTTCATTAAGTTTAAGTTGTTGGTCTCGTATGAGACTAGGTAGCTCCACACCTGCATCAGTGTGAACGAATGGTCCATTACATTAGGCTAGACTTTATTGCCTAGCGGTCACGTAAAGAGGAGTTGCGTTTCTGCTATTTGTTGTTTCGCACGCAGCTGGCACCAGTATAAGTGTTCTACTCTTGTTTGTGTCCTTTAGAAGATATATTCCCCATTACAATGTTTTTTAAAAAAAGCAAATGTAGTCCAGTGTGTTAAGTTATCCTTTTTTCAGGATGTTCCAGGGCAAAAGCTTTTTGAAAAATCACTCGTCGCGCTCGTGGGGTCCAGTGGAAGGAGGAAAATAAGTCCGTTTTTGTAGAAAATGTTGCTTGTCCAAACTCTTCTATTCACTTTACGACATGAAAATGATCTTGAAAAGGGAGATAAAAAAAACAGATTATCAAAATGCGGACCAAAAGAAAACATACAGCATTCGATGTTTCGAGAATGCGTTATTGCTATCATTCCCTTTTTCAAATAATTTTACTCCAAAATTCAGCGAATACATTTGAGAACGGGACGCATGGTGCCGTTAACTCTACTGACCATTGCCAAACCATGTTTACAGAAAGAACAGTCTACAATTAATCCACTCCGTGAATGTATCACATAGCTACACCAACTTCGTTTCTTTCTTTCCCCAAATTACTTACCTCCCCCTCTTTTTCCTTTATCAGCCACTGGCTCGTTTGTTTTCCTTAACGCCGGAACACCTTTCTGCCAGCAATCGCGGATGGATAACATCCAACAATATTTCGTCATTCATACGCAGTCTACTAGTATGGGAGACACACCAAAAGACATCAACTGTATTTTTCATAATTATGATCATAAACCGAATTAGAGGGTATACTTTTTATTCAATTGATTGCTTATAAAATATGAATACATTTGGGATTGTGGATAAACCCTTCCAATAGCTTATATGTTATACTCAATTACAATCTTTACGTAGGAGGTACATCATTGTATTCTCACATTTTTCACATGGGTGGGTACTGATTTATTGCACAATTATGACCTCTCTGAAATACCTCCCAGTCTCAGGTATGTTAATTGCCCCAGCCCTTATCAACAACACACCAATATGTTGTGCCCTAAGGCAGAAAGCAATATCAAAGGGTCCGTTGCTTGTTTTCATGTCCTGACACAATTTAAATATGGTTTTAGTAGGCCTACGTGCCTAGAATAACATGGGCATAATGGTGCAGGCCTATTTGGGGACTACTTTATTATGCTCCCAGTCTGTGGAATGTGCGGAAGAACATTCTCTAGTGACACGGTTCAGAGATTTTTTCGGCGTGTATGTGTTCTCCAAGGACGATACAAAGTAAACATCTCGCTACTATTTTAGTGCCTTTTTGCTTGCAAGTGTCATACGCTTCAATGCTCTCTGGGTCGTTTTGGTGACATTAACCCTAACATGAATCAAATCTTTATAAAACAAGTTTTTTTGTACTAATTTTGCCTATCCCGAAGCCCCCTCCTCGCTCCCTAGTCTTTCATTGCCCTTACGGTAGCCTACACTGAAACGCGCGAGCGTCGATGTGTGCCTGGCTGCCTCTCCCTTCCTTGCTCTGCTCCCTTCAGTTGGCTGGAGCGTTCATCGTAGGCGAGTGAGGACTTGTCTGTGAAGTTAACAGAAAAATACTTCATGGCTTACTCAGTAAAGAGAGAGCAGCTAGAGCATGGGAGAAGATGGTTAAAAATCATGACTTATCAACTTTGGGGGACAAAACGTTGCATGATGACCAACTCAAATTGTGTATGTGTGTGTTTGTGTGTAAAAGTAATACTTTTAAAATAATTCAAGTGTACTACTTCAAGTGTACTACTCAAGTGTCAAGTCTAATTCAAGTGTACTAAATACAATTATTTTACTTTTTATTTTTTGGGGATAGTAACATTTTATGAAAGTGTGTAATTTTATGATTATAAAACGATGATAAAATAAGACTACACCACAACCAATTCATACTTCACTCTTATCTGGAAAAATTGTATTTTGTAAATGTATCATCAAAATCATCATCATGATCATTATCATCATCATCATCATCACCTGAAGTCCAGCTCATCATTTGGCTCTACTGTAACAGAACGTGATTAATTAACAGTGTTGTTACAATAAAACAAAATTGCAACGTCACACGTTGCTGCCTGTTGCTACTTGGTTTCCACTCCACCAGCTGTTTGGCGTATCTTTATCGCCACCTAGTGGTCAAAATAGTTCTCACATGAAAATCCAACATGGCGGCGCCCGTTAGGACATTGTGTTGTACAGGTGAGGTTATTTACAATTACGTATAATTTTCATACGATCTAATGGTCATTTTCTGCTGTAAATATGAATATCAATCGACTCCCTGTTGACAAGAACCTGTTTTTGATATTTAGCTAGACCGATTACTAGTTATGCTAGGTTTGATAAAAATGGCTAGGCAACTAGCTAGCTACTGTTAGCTAAAACAAACTAGACAGCCTAAATTAATTGAATTCCTGCTTGTCTGTTTTCAGCTTTGAGGCAATCCAGTCGTTGTTTTACTACGACGTGTGGGGCACAGGCTGGAATCAAGTGGAGGACCGAGTACGTTCTAAAAGACACAGACAAACAACTGTCAAGACAAAATGACACACACTTACACAGACACACACGCTTATACACACGGACATACACAATTGTAGATATGATGGCCGTGTTTTGATATGCTTTGTTCTTTACAATTTCACCTGGTTTTGTCCACAGAAATGGTCTGGCCCGCAGTGGAACAGAGTATGGCCCCATGACAGATCTCCCTGACTGGTCCTTTGCAGGCAAGTTCACAGAAAGGAGCATGCATTTTTAGGGTGTTTTAACATATTGTCCTGTTTAAAATAACTGATCTCAGTCTTCTTTAAAGTGAACTATGGGATAAAAAAAAAAAAAAAGGCAAAATAATTGTTTTTATTCACACTGCCCTTGCCTTTGAATGAGGACTCAACTATTTTGCCAATTCACTTCACCTATTTTGTGGTCCGAGTCCTCTTTGCATTCACATTGCTATGTTTAGAAAGGAACCAACATTCACTCAATGCACTCTGGGTTTTTACAAAGTTAAGGACAAGCCATTCCATCAGAACGTGTTATCAGACAGCTAGATACTTACAAGTCAAATGCTCCTTTAATTGCTATGGAGACAGCAGAGAGAGCACGCCCCCATCCACATCAACGGGGCCGGAGTGGAGAAGGTGAAAAGCTAAAATGGTCCACCCACACAGACTGTGTGGTGAAGAAGGCGCAACAAAATGATTCGCCATCTGGCAGTCCGACGGACAAATCTGGGTTTGGCAGATGCCAGAAGAACGCTACCATAGTGCCAACTGTAAAGTTTGGTGGATGAGGAATAATGGTCCGGGGCTGTTTGTCATGGTTCGGGCTAGGCCCCTTAGTTCCAGTGAAAGGAAATCTTAATGGTACAGCATACAATGACATTCTAGACGATTCTGTGCTTCCAACTTTATGGCAACAGTTTGGGGAAGGCCCTTCCTGTTTCAGCATGACAATGCCCCAATGCACAAAGCGAGGTCCATACAGAAATGGTTTGTCAAGATAATAATAATAATAATATAATAATAATATGCCATTTAGCAGACGCTTTTATCCAAAGCAACTTACAGTCATGTGTGCATACATTTTTACGTATGGGTGGTCCCGGGGATCGAACCCACTACTACCCTGGCGTTACAAGCGCCATGCTCTACCAATTGAGCTACAGAGAACCACAGATCGGTGTGGAAGAACTTTACTGGCCTGTACAGAGCCCTGATCTCAACCCCATCGAACACCTTTGGGATGAATTGGAATGCCGACTGCACACTACATGTCCAAAAGTATGTGAACGCCGGCTCGTCGAACATCTCATTCCAAAATCATTGGCATTAATATGGAGTTGGTCCCCCCTTTGCTGCTATAACAGCCTCCACTCTTCTGGGAAGGCTTTCCACTAGATGTTGGAGCATTGCAGCGGGGACTTGCTTCCATTCAGCCACAAGAGCATTAGTGAGGTCAGGCATTGATGTTGGATGGCAAAGGGGGGACCAACTCCATATTAATGCCCATGATTTTGGGATGAGATGTTCGACGAGCCGGTGTCCACATACTATTGGACATGTAGTGTGTAAAAGTTTGGACACACCTACTCATTCAAGGGTTTTTCTTTATGTTTTACTATTTTCTACATTGTAGAATAATAGTGAAGACATCAACACTATGAAATAACACATGGAATCATGTTGTAACCAAAAAAAGTGTTAAACAAATCAAAATATATTTTTTATTTGACATTCTTCAAATAGCCACCCTTTGCCTTGATGACAGCTTTGCACACTCTTGGCATTCTCTCAACCAGCTTCACCTGGAATGCTTTTCCAACAGTCTTGAATGAGTGCCCACATATGCTGAGCACTTGTTGGCTGCTTTTCCTTCACTCTGCCGTCCGACTCATCCCAAACCATCTCAATTGGGTTGAGTTCGGGGGATTGTGAAGGCCAGGTCATCTGATGCAACACTCCATCACTCTCCTTCTTGGTAAAATAGCCCTTACACAGCCTGGAGGTGTGATGGGTCATTGTCCTGTTGAAAAACCAATGATAACTAAGCCCAAACCAGATGGAATGGCGTATCACTGCAGAATGCTGTGGTAGCCATGCTGGTTAAGTGTGCCTTGAATGCAGATGTCATCCGTTCACGCACACCACGTCTCACAAAGACACGGCGGTTGGAACCAAAAATCTCAAATTTGGACTCGAGACCAAAGCACACATTTCTACCGGTCTAATGTCCATTGCTCGTGTTTCTTGGCCCAAGCAGGTCTCTTCTTCTTATTGGTGTCCTTTAGTAGTGGTTTCTTTGCAGCAATTCGACCATGAAGGCCTGATTCACACAGTCCCCTCTGAACAGTTGATGTTGAGATGTGTCTGTGACTTGAACTCTGTGAAGCATTTATTTGGGCTGCAATTTCTGAGGCTGGTAACTCTAATTAATTTATCCTCTGCGGCAGAGGTAACTCAGTCTTCCATTCCTGTGGTGGTCCTCAGGAGAGCCAGTTTCATCATAACGCTTGATGGTTTTTACGACTGCACTTGAAGGAACTTTAAGAGTTCTTGACATTTTTAAAGTAATGATGGACTGTTGTTTGTCTTTGCTTATTTGAGCTGTTCTTTCCATAATATGGACTTGGTCGTTTACCAAATAGGGCTATCTTCTGTATACCTCCCTACCTTGTCACAACACAACTGATTGGCTCAAACGCATTAAGAAGGAAAGAAATTCCACAAATTAACTTTTATGAAGGCACACCTGTTAATTTAAATGAATTCCAGGTGACTACATCATTAAGCTGGTTGAGAGAATGCCAAGAGTGTGCAAAGCTGTCATAAAGGCAAAGGGTGGCTATTTGAAGAATCTCAAATATAAAATATATTTTGATTTGTTTAACACTTTTTGGTTACTACATGATTCCATGAGTTTTGATGTCTTCACTATTATTCTACTGTGTGTGTGTGTGTGTGTGTATATATATATATATATATATATATATATATATATATATATATATATATATATATATATATACACACACACTACTGTTCAAAAGTTTGGGGTCA